GGCAGGAATCGAAGCCGAGAGACGGACTGGCCAGGGCGGGATGAGGAATAAAGGGACAGTTGAAAAAAAGGGGGCAATGTGACGACGATGCTGCCTTGACCTCGACACAAGAGCGGAAAGAACAGTAGGGCAATCAAGTGGCCGTGACAGGAAAGAGCGAACTACGACGGCCAGCAGTTGTAAGGTACGTGCCTGCTGTATCTGATTATTTGGTCGATGTCCGCATCACGCTTGGCGACTCACTAACAGAAGGAACGACCAAACCAGTCCACTTTGGACTGTTCCTTCCATTTTCGCTATCATCAAACTCGCTCCCTCTGTAGCCAGGCGTTGCTCTTTCTTTGTTCGGCTTTTTAGTCGGCCGCGGCAGTTCCCTTTGTCGAAATTCTTTAGCGTCGATGTTTCTGGCCGAGCTTACGCTTTATCACGAAGAAATGACTGGAACAGTGCACGGTTGCACTCAAATCAAAGCCTCCAAACAGCACTAAACCGGACTGGCGGCCGCTCAGTTCGGGCGGGACGCGGAGCGGGCAGTGGCGGCGGGAAGAGCGGAGCTGTTCGCATTGAGTACGAATGTACAACTGTATTTTGGCTGTTTTGGGCAGTGAAGAGAAACTCAAATCCACATGGGGAGATCAACCCAAAGTGACGGTTTGGTGCGCTACGACTGGCTGGCTGTCACTTCTAGGGGCTGACAGGGGCCTGGGCGAGGCCTCTCTCGGACCAACTACTTGACAATCGGGGCCAAGCTCCATGGAAGCAACACTCTTGGGAAAACTACGACGTACTGATGATCATTGTTCACGGGACATGATGCTCGTAAAGGTCGAGGCAGTCCTTCCCCAGAGGCGTCTTTCTCGAAATAGGGAGTAGGGGTAGGGGGATGGCCGCTGACCACCTCGGTCGGGTACCAACAACCCAAAAATAGAGAACGTTTTGAATACTGCAGAGGCGCTGCAGGCCGTAGTCAATTTTTACGTTTAGAAGCAACCACTCACATCGCGGAGGGGAGCCCCCCAAGAACATAGACAAACGGACTGCAGAATATTATGTATTCCGAATAAAAATGGTAAAACGCCCCCATTTCTGCCCAACGTCCCCCCCTCCATGTGTGCCCCCCGTCTCGTTCGAACGGCCGTCCGTCGTCCGCTATCCAGTCGTTTGCACCGCCTTAAAATGACGACAGCCATACGGAGCAGAGAGAAAAGGGTACGCGAAATGCCAGTAGCGGCCCCTTGTCGACGTTGGGCATCGTTTTGGGGGTCTTGTCTTTCCCTCGTTCTCTCTTGCTCAAGTTCTTATGTTCATTCACTCACTGCCCACTCACTTTGTCGTTGTGCCTCCCTCACGTCTGTCTTAGTTGCGACCTCTGACCTCTGTTGCTATTCTGACTGGCCAAAAAGTGAGATGCGTTCTTGGCCTGGGTTAGTGCTTTCCTCCTACTGAGTAATACGACGTACATGATCACCCAAGGACCTCAGACACCATCAGCAGACGTAAGTCTGTATCCGATGAGAGCGAAGAGACAGGCAATCCAGCCACTGGCAGACTCGTCTGCGACTCCCGTAATGGTCTGTATGACCCCAAGGGTTTTATTTTTTATTTATTTTATATTTTTTTGGCGAGTGCAAAAGCCTCCTGGCACGGGCAGAACATCACGCGTACGACGTGCTGGCCACTCTCCTTGACGCATCGCCTATTCAACTCGCAGAGTCCACATAACTGTGTCAGTCTGGTGATCTGCTGACTGGCACACCCTTTGGCAGTCGGCTGCTCTGGCTGTTTGCTGATACGCCGAGATAACATGGCAGCCTTCACTCCTTCTCCTCCCTTGCCGTCTCTGGCGCGCAGAGAGACAAAATACTGCAATTCCAGGACTGGCGTCGTCGGCTGATTGCCGTATGGGCCTGGGGCGGCAGTGGCCATGCGATCGTTGGACTTGCGTCGCACCTTCTGATGTTCTCGTTTTCTCATTTCCTCCCCATTTTGACCTCTGGCCTCTGGCCTCTGGCCGCTGGCCACCCTCGCCGTCGTACCTTGCTGCCCTGCGTTTTAACCATCGGCCCGCCCTGGGAATTGATTTGTGCTGCTCGCTCGCGCCTCTGCCTTTGTCCGTCGGGGCCTCATTTGCAACGGCCTTCTCATCTTCGCATGCCCTTGCCAAACGTGCCAAACGGGCCGCCCAGAACGAGACCACCGTTGCCCAAGCTAAGGTGCAAATCCCAACGAATAAGGCTCGCTCGCTACGGCGCAGTTCATGCCCAGGGTCGCGGCCAGGAGAAGGGTGTAGATATCAAAGTTAAAAGTGCACTTCACAGGCGGTGAAGTCTGGCGAGTCCAAAAAAAACAAAGGCTGTTGCTGATATGCCTATCCCCGTTTAGCCCCTGTAACGACTGTCGTTCCACTGTAAACAATACGAAGTGGCCTGGCCTGGCCGTTCCTTTCGCGTCCGCCAGGCGCTGCTTGTTTGGAGTGTGTTATTGGCTGTTAAAGGCTGAGAATGGAACGGCATGTACTGCAACGGGAAAGAGGGGCTGTACCGACTTCGTATGTTGACAGACTCTGTACTCTTCCACACTGTGGACTGCGTTCTCGGCAATTAGACAGTGACTCTCTCGTGACCTCTGTCTTGCCGCCGTCTTGCCGTCGGTTGCAAGTACACCGCCTGGTGGCCACTAACAAACGGGAGGTGGTCCAAAAAGAGAGGAAAGTCTAGGAAACCTGCCCAGTGTGTGGCGCTCTGGACCTGGCCAGCTCGCGCGGGTTGTTCCTTCCCTTTTCAAAGGCCCGCAACCGCCGCAAAGATGACCGTGGGTTGCTCGTACGGCAAGTGCGCTGCTGAAAGTGGGAAGGTAGCAAACAATAGTGTCCCAGGTAGGCAAGTCGGACTGGATCGCTGCACTGGATGTTTCTGGCGTCCAGTCCATCGTGCCTGCCCTGTATCATTTTGCTCGTGATCTGCTCCTTCCTTTGCCCTCTTGCCCTCGTTGCCCTTCCCAGTTATCCTTTCCCGTTCTGCCCTTGACTCACATTTCCACTCTGTTCCCACTCATCTCTCCTGACATCTCGAAACTGCTTTTCTCGAGGCCCAAGGCCGAAACAGACGACGCAAAGTAAACGCGACAACAGATCTGCCCAGCGCCCATCACCGGTGCCCATCACCCGGCTCCCCAGACTCGCCATCACAGGCTCGCAGCCGCGCCTCGACCGGCTCTACCAGCCCCCCCTGTCAGCCCTCTGTTATTGGCGAACCCCTGCCTGTGGCTCTCTTCCCAGCTATTTTCCTCTTCTGTTCGTCTTCCTCGTCTTCCTCGTCCACACCACCGCACCCCATACGCCTCTTGCGCCCGCGCACTTGTGGCTCGTCCAGTGTGCATCGTCGACAACAGATTAAAAGGCAGCGCGGCCGCCCTCTCCCCTTTCAGTCCCACAAGACTATACAGCAACCCTCGGCTTTCATCTTGTTCTTATTCTCATTCTCAGTCTCATTCTCAGTCTCATTTTGTGTCTTTTATCTCGTCAGTTTCTCCCGTGCTTGATCGTTGCTTGCTTCCACTCGGTCCTACGACTTCGGCCTCACACCTGCCCTCTGTACAAGTATACATGTACATCGGCCCCAGCAAACGCACTATCCTCGATCTCCTCCACTCTATCGAGAAACACAAACACGGCAGAAACACTCACGCACACGCCATTCCACCATTGTAAGTCGCCTCCTCGGAGCCCTCATCTGAGTGCCCTCCATTTACCAGACTTTCCTTGCTCCCGGCGCATCTTCGATTTGCATTTTCCTGTTTTGTTGCCTCTCTGTGGCCTGCCTCCCCCAAGTCGACGACGCTCTCTCTTCTCACCCCAATATGTGCAGTCCTTTAGCTCGCTCAGCTGAATGCCCCCAAGTTCACTCCCTCACAGAACTTCCCCTCAACTGACAAGATTCCCTACTTCCTGTGCCACACCACCTCCCACCAACGACACAACTTACAGCTCCTGCTCGTGCTCCTCCTCTCCCACCCCCCCCCCCCCCCCACAACCCTGCTCCTCCGCGTGCGTTCTGCTCCACCGTTCTGTGCCCTTGTCGAACTCTTGAACTCTTGAACTCTTGAACTCTTGAACTCTTGAACTCTTGAACTCTTGGTCTTAAAAGGGCTCTGCCGCCCTCTCTCCCGTTTTCCCCACCATTCTTGTCCCTCTTATCGAATTCCCTTTCGTTTACAACTAAGATCCAAACCCTATTTTGCATGGGCATACGTCGTATATACTTTCAGTCTTGTTACTTCTTCTTTTCTGTATGTTTCTGTCCCTCTCACGCTCCCCCGTTGCCTTTGCCGTTCATCGCCACCTCGACTTACTCTTTCATCATTCCTCCCCATCCATCCCACGTCCCTTCGCTCCGCCATCTCTTCAACTCGCCTCATCCTCCCCTCCTCACCCACTATTTCTTCTGCTCCACCACTCACAGCCAAAGCTTGCCCCTACCAACTGCACGCTGCCGTCTTCCCCCCCTGCTCGTTCTTTTATTTTTGGTAAAGAGACAAGCGACAAAGGAGGAAAAAACGCACACAAAATACTCAAATACACATCCAACACTGCAGACATCGACAGGCCAGACAGCGCCGCACCTTTCCGGCCCGTTCAGCCCTCGACGGGTCAGCCATCCCATCCCCCCAAGCCCACAGTTACGCTAACCCCCCATTTTTTTCTCAATAGAACCTCTTTAAAACCACAATAGATTTCTGCCCGACACACACTTAGACTCATCTTTCTTTCCCCTGCAACTTGCTGCTCCAGGAAAGCCTTTGTTGATTCCCCTATTTCTTTTTCTCATCATACCCATTTTATTTTCATATTTTTGGCATTCTGTTTTTGGTGTTCTCCCACCGCTTCTTCCCACCGCCTCAGCCCACGCGTGCCTGGACTTCTGCAGTCTCAACAGACCAGCGCATACATTATCCCGCCTCCTGCCCTTCTCATCCCGCACCTTCAACACCAGAAACAGACAATGGTCTTGACATATCCCATGAATTCCTCTTACAGGCCAGGCCAACTGTCAGTCGACACCTCTGCTGGCCACCTCACGCAAAAATATTTTGACGAGGACGACAGTATACTTGACGACGCCGTCCTGGACCACAACGCCATCGACTCTGGCCTTGAGATGTCCCCGCCCATGGTCGACAGCCGGAGAGACTCGTTTGTTCTTGGTTCCACATTCTTCTCGCCCAAGCAGGAGGATTGGCAGCCCGTCGAGATGCAATCGATGCCATCCGTCAACCCATTTGAAGCCAGCACCAATCCATTTCTGCGGATGGATCACCAGCAGCATCAGCAGCAGCATCAGCAGCAGGCTCAACAGCAGGCTCAACAGCAGGCTCAGCAGCATCAGCAGCAACAGCAACAGCAACAACACGCCATGGGCCTTGGTTCTTGGCCCATGACGGCCAGCACGAGCGCTGCTTCGGGTGTTGCTACTCCTGTTGCCCACTTTGACGGGCTGCCCGCCGAGATGGACAACAGCGCCTCGGTTTTCCAGCGCGGCTCGCTTCAGACGCCTTTCCCGACCATGGGTGGCAGTCTCTTCCAGACCATGCCCGGCATGTCTGGTATGCCCACGGCGGCAAACATGGTGCCGACCACAACCTCCGCTGGTTCGGTTCCCATGCAGGCCAGCTCCAGCAACGACAGTGTCGATACACAGTCTGCCACGCTCCTGAGAATCCCGCCGCAGAGCCCGATGATGCGCTCGCACAACGACATGCGCCGTGGCGATGGTGTCCGCAAGAAGAATTCTCGCTTCGACATCCCGTCGGACCGTAACCTGAACAACATCGACTATCTCATCTCGAAGTCGAAGGACGAGCAGGAGATCAAGGAGCTGAAGCAGCAGAAGCGTCTTCTCCGCAACAGACAAGCTGCGTACGTATTTTTTTTTCTCCTTCCAGTTAACCACTTTCTTTTTTTTTTTTTTTTTTTTTTTTTTTTTTAAGCTGCACTCTACTAACACCATAACAGCCTTGATTCTAGACAACGCAAAAAGATGCACACGGAGCGGCTTGAGGACGAAAAGAAGCAGTACACCAACCACATCAACAATTTGGAGCATGAAATTGAGACTCTCCGCTTGCAGGTGTCGGAGCTGCAGATGGAGAAGCAGAGCGTCAACCAGTACATCGAGAACATGAACATGGACAAGGAGGAGATGATTCGCCAGCACACCATCGAGACGGCCGATCTGCGCAAGAAGATTAGCGTCCTCTCCAACCACGTCCAGGTTCTCGAGGGCTCGGCCACTCAGGTGTCGGGCTACACCAACGCTGGCGTTGGTGCCTCGACCATGGGCCACTTTGGTGGCATGGACAGCCTCACCATGGATGATGCTACGGACTCGTGGGAGCAGTTGTTCCCGGGCATGTCAAGTGTTGGGCAGCCGCAGCAGCCTGAGCACCAGCAGCACCAGCACGTTGTCGAGGTCAAGGCCGACCCCGAGCCGACCAAGACCAACAACGCTGAGGCTGTTGGCTCCGTCTTGGCCTCGACCGAAAAGTCGGGCTCCCAGGGTGGTCTCCTCTTCATGCTCTTCCTTGTCGGCGCCTTTGTCATGTCGAGCCGCCAGATGCCCAGCATACCGCAAGTGTCGGACGAGATGCGCGTCGCCTCGGCTGAGCTCCTGGAGAACGTCCTCAAGGATGCCAGCGAGAATGCGGCCAGCGTCAGCGCCCCAGCCACTGCCGCCATCCCTTCGTCTTCGGTCAACGCCAATGTCGCTGCGCCCTCTGCTTCGTCGTGGGCCCAGCCGGCAACGGTCGAGCCGTCCATGCTCGGTCAACTCTCCGACCAGCTCATGCAGCCGACCGAAGACCAGGCCAACGAGCAGCTGTTCTCACTGAATGCCGCACAGTACAGCGGCGTTGTGAGCTACCAGCATCCTCCCACGGCCGAGAGCGCTGCGGTCCCCTCGTCTGCCCCCACCAACCAAGGCCGCCGCAACCTTGCTGACGCCCTTGCCGCTGTGCGCAGCAACAGCAAGGCCGAGGTCTACACCCGGTCGCTCCTGTGGGACCAGATCCCAAGCGACGTGGTGCGGTCTTTTGTCAAGATGGTCTCCGAGGTGAACACGGCGTCCCCCGGTGCTGATGGCGAGCAGTAAATTTGCTGCCTCTGCGTCTTCATTCTCGTCGTCTTCTTCTGCTTCTTCTTCTTTTCGATTTTCGTCTCTTTGTCAAGGGACTGTTTCGCAAACAATTTTGCATTTCTTTTGACGACTTTTACTTTTCTTCATGATCATGATTGATTTCTTCAACGGCGACACAAACAGCTCAGAGAAGGCCGGTGCTCTTCTACTTTTTATGAATTGCTTTCTAGCGTTCTTTTTTTTATTCTTTACCCTCACATACCTATGCCTCCCTACATTCGGATTATGACAGTCAACGGCATCGAACAGCTACACGATCTTCGCATACCAAGTGCGACAGTTTTTGTTTTTCCAACTCTGCGTTTATTCATTGTCGGAATTTTGCTTTCAACGACTCTATTTGCGTTTTTCAGCCTCGGGCTTTCCGGTCACAAAACCAACGCGCTCACGCGCCATGCTTTAACCATTGTTCTTCACTTTCGAACACTTTGTATTTCGAGACCCCTTCCAACGGGGTTATCCACATTCGCTTTGGCTCTGCGAGCCGCCAACTCCGAATTTTCTTTTGTTGTTCTCTTTTCTGTGTTGTTTTGCACTTTTTGGGCACCAAAGAGTTCTAAACCCTCAAATCTGGGATACAATGATTTCTTTCTCCTCATCAACCCTTCACTTCGCCAGCCGGGGGTGACCGATCCCTTGTCTGAGTTTTTGTTTCTGTCTGTCTGCTGTGTCATCATGTTCAACGCCCCCATTTTATCGTTTTGCATTCTTCTTTGCGTTTCTTTCCGTCAAGCCAGCGATTTGATTTTTTGCATTTATGCCATTTTGCCTTTCCACTCTGCTTCTTTTTTTTTTGCTTTTTCAGTTTTCCAGCCAGCCAAGCAAGCGAGCGAGTTCGTTCAAGTTTTGCTTTTCTTCTTTTTCTGCTTTCAACTGATTTTCTGCCTTTGCCTTGCATTTTATTCCGAATCTTATGAAAGACTGCTCTTGTTTTTATCTAACGTCTCACGCCGTCACGGTTTCATGTTTTATGCCTCATGTTTGTGTATTTTCTTCATTGGGTGGGATGGTTTTGCAAAGCTGCACTTGGATAGGCTCTGCTGCCTTCTGCTCTGTGTCTGCTTTTCGGCCCTTTGGGATGGCCGACGGGAAAATGTCGGTCAGTGCTTTCTGCTTTTGTTTCTCGTTTCCTATTTTTGCAACATTTCTTCAGGCTTTCTCGCCCGCCTCTTCTTACCATTCTCTGGTCTTCTTTTCCCTCCACTTGCTTTCCTTTCATTCACGACCTTCATGGCTTGGTCATCTGCCTGCCTTCTTTTGATCCTCTAAAGAAAAGTGGACTGTGCAGCCCTGATGAGATTTTTTGATATGTTTTTGTTTTGCTTTTCTTTTCTTTTGTTGGGTGACGATTTATGTTTCTCGAAGCGTGTTGCACGAAAAAGTTGCTGCAATCTTCAACATCATTTTAACCATTTATCTTGTTTATTCGTTTGCACGAATTTTATCATGTACTTTGGGAGGGTCACCCAGTCTCGCAAGAGGTCGTGGAATATCGCCTAGACCAGATTGGACTCGCTTTTTCATGGTTTGCCTTGATTTATTTCCTCTTTTTATGACTTTGTTTCCCTTTGATGGTGTCGCTGCCCTCTATTTTTACCTTGCTTCCGTTCTCCCACGAGAAACCGACCACAACGTCCTGATGAAAGGGAAAATATGTCGAGGTCGAGTTTCAAGAGGTGGATGAGTACATGGAACGAGCACGAAAATAATGGAAGAACGACAACCGCCTTAAAGCACGAACAAACACAACCAACTACCAACACTCTTTACCCACACTCGCTTGGAAAACAACCGAACGCCGACAAACAGACAAATCACCGTCTTTGTCGGCGTGTTGAAACAGAAAGCACGCCACTTTTTTTCTTATACGTCTACGAGAACAACGATCGACACCACAACAAATAAAATAAATCAACAAAACCCGAAACATCAAAACATCGACGATGGCAGCATCTTGCACTTTTGTATCTTTTCTGGAACATTACGAAACGGAGCAGAATGACCACAACTGGCGGACAGTTGTATTGGAAAAAGCTTCGGTAGGAAAGTGAAGTTTGGGACTTTTGACTGTTGGCGAAAGGGGCTCGAAAGGGAAACGACAAGAAACACAGCATGCAATATGGAAAAGAGCGAAACATAGGACGGAGAAGCCTGGCCTCGACTGTCTCTTCTGCTGCTTCGCCCAAAAATATACCCTCCCTTTCTTTGGGAATATCACGACACATGTCAGGATGATTTATGGCTGATGGATTTTTATGTCATTGTTTCTATTCCACTTTAGTTCTTTATATTCACAAATTTTACCAATTCCTTTGAGAATGTCTCGAATTGTGAATTCAGTAGGGCAGTCTTCCCCAGTGAACAAGGCCTTTGACTCGACAAGCCACGCAGCCAGACGATGGTGTACTTTCGAAATAGTTGATGGGAGGATCAGAAGCTAAAGAGTACGCTGCTGCCTTCTCCTACATGCTTCGGATGCTCATGTGAGGCCCAGCAGGTGCACCTGCCGTCGAAAGAAAAGGACGACAGCGTGCTGCCGGCATGGGCCCCCGCTGGGTTATCACCTGCCCGTACATACATACGTACATACTAGCAAGGGGAAACGAACGTCCAAAACATCTAATTTCGTATATCCAAAATTCTGTTGAAAAAAAGACTAGACAAAAAGAACTAGAATAAAGGTACGACCTATCGAATGAAATGCGGTGTCCAAAAAATATAATGAAATAAACCTTCCAAACATATACTAAAAATACAGGTATAATAAAAAGATGATAACCAAAAAAAATAGAGTGAAGAAGACGACACGACCGGCTTATTTCTTCTTCTGCTTGTCGGGATCGTACTTTTCCTTCCAGATCCTGTCCAAGTGTTAGTTGACATATCCAAACGAGACCACCACAGTAGAACGCAGAAACGAGGCGAGGGCCATCGAGAGGATGTAAAAGAATATGGGCGGAACGGCGGACAGCTGCACGTCCCTCACAGCCAACCGATCTGTCGCTGCCCAAGCCGCTGTGACAAAAGATGATGGCGAAGACGATTGGCTTCCTCGCAGGGCGCAAGCAAACGCCACGCCCAATGGGATGCACGGTAGAGGGTATGGAAAAGAAGGAGAGTGTGGGACATACCAGGAGTTGCCGAGCGTCTTGTTGCCGTTTTGTTCTGCCAGGCGGTAGTATTTGGAGGCCAAGAACTGTTGGGGAGAAAGGAAAAAGAAGATGCGTTAGCTTCTGCGTGATGGACGTCAATGGGGTGCGGGCGTGACTCGATCCGCCTCTCATAGCTCCGTCTTTGTATGCCGAGATGACATATTCCCCCACACTCTCTTAGTGTGGGGGAGGCGTATGCGGTGATTTGAACGTGATCAAGAGACGACGGCTCACACCGCATCTGATTTGCCACGGCCCCTTTCAAGGGGTTGCTGCCCAACCGCAAAGAGCAATCTCTCAGCGCCAGCTTTGAGGGAGCGACCACTGCAGCTGACCAGCCTGCAGTAGTGCAGAAAGGGAGAGAAAACGACAATGAACTTGGCATGCAGAGGTGGCGTTGGAGACGCAAGGAGCACAGCGGGGACGTTTGTATTGGAAATAGAAAAGCTTACCTTGTCTTTCTTGCAGCCAAAGCCTTCGAGATAGCACCAGGCCACTTCGTTCATGGCATCTGGATTGTTAGTGTGTGTGATATGAAACAAACCGAGGTACCGTTTTGTCGTTTGTCTGTACATACCTGTGTCGCCAAGGTTCGCAGCCGTCTCGTAGTATTGCTTTGCCGCCAGCGGGTCGCGGTCCAGGCCCCAGCCGTTGCGGAAGCAGTTGGCCAGTTCGAAAATGGCCAGCACCAGTTCGCCCTTGGCCGCGCCGCCCTTGTTGATGCCCGCCTTGAGCGCCAGCTCCTCGACGGCCGCCGCGTTCGAGGCCGCCGCCGACAGGTACTTGACGGCCGTCTCCGTGTCCGGCGCACAGCCCCAGCCGTGGCGCAGCGCCAGGCCGTACAGCACCTGGCTCAGCGGGTTGTTGTAGCCGCGGGGGTCGGCCAGGATGCCAAACATGCGCGTCGACTGCTCGAGCTCGCCCTCTTCGTGCAGGCGAATGGCCTCCTGGATGTTGGCGTCGAGCTCCTTGCTCGACACGGCGCCGTTGGCATTGCTGTTGCTGCGACTGCGGCTGCGGCTGTGGGAGCTGCCTGCGGGACTGGCGGCGCCTTTCCGCCCCAGCCGGTCTTCGGGCGTGCCTGGCCGGCTGCCGTGTAGCTGCTGCACCTTTTCGTTTTCCTGCGCCAGCATCGTGGCACGCTTTTCCCACTGCGACTCGACGACTGGGTTGACGGGGGCGGGCTTGCTGTTCTGTGCGCTGGGGACGGGTGCCGACGTGGGTGCCTCGCCGCCGCGTGTGCTCGACGACGACCCTTGCGACGACAGCGAGAGGGACGACGAGTGGCCCACAGGCCGGTTGCCGCCCTCGCCCTCGCCCTCGGGCACAACGATTTCGGGCAGGTTCGTCGGCACATGCGAGCTCGTGCTCGGCGTCCGGCTCAGGTGCAGGCGCTGTGAGAGACGGCGGGCCGTGGATTCGGCGGCGGCATTGCTGCCGTCGCCCGCCACGCCGCTCGACGAAACGGAGGCACTGCGGCTGCTGCGCCCGCTGCGCGACGACTTGCGGAACATGTCGAAGCTGCGGCGGTGGTTCTGTGGACTTGCCGGGCTGGCCAGGCCGCCGTCGCTGCTGTTGCTGTTGCTGCCGCCGCCGGCCTGGAGGTACTGATTCCGCCCAAAATCGTCCACGTCCGCCGGCGGGTGGATCACTTCTTGGGAGAGCGTGTCGGAGCGAATAAAGGTGAACTCGGAGGTCTGGAGCGGATCGGGCGGCGGGGGGCGCGGCGGTGGTGTTCGCCGACGTTGCGGTTGCGGTTGCGACTGCGATTGCGACGGGAACTCCTGCTGGTATTGATGCTGGAACTGGTCAAACTCGCTCTCGTTGCGCGAGTCGGTGAAGCCACCCTCATCGTCGCTGCCGCCCTTCTTCTTTAGTATGTCGCGGAGACCCATGGTGGCGAGCAGAAACGGGATCCGAGGCCAAGAGGCACGAGGGAAAACGGGAACTAGGTGAAACGGCGTGGCAGAGCTGCGACGGCTGGTGGTCACAGTTCGGGACCAAAACTACGGGAAGAGGTCTTGCAATGCTCGAATGATCGACGGGCGGATGGGTTCAAGGACGAACGTATGCTTCTGATCTTTTGATCTTTTGATCGCCAGTTGGGAGCTGCCTGTCGCAAGGCACTCATGGCATGAGCCGCTGGGGCCCTTTGGCTGTGAGGGGCGTGAGGGAAGGGGGGGGGGGGTGAAAGCGCGAGAACAAAGCCTGTCTGTCCGTTGACGAAAACGGGCACACTCGAAAGTATGTATGATATAAATGTGGTGGTGTTGATGGTGTAATGCTGCGAAGGGGTTTGAATAAAACAAGAAAGAAAGGAATCAAGAAACAAAGACAACGAAGGATGTCGAGCCGGGAAATACGATCGCAAGGCTTGGACGAGAAGGAAGGCGCGGCGGAACTGGCGGAGGGAAGGCGCCAAGCTGCAAAGGACATGAAGACACGAGCCTGCGCGCCTTGGTCGTTCCTGCAGTTTGCTTCCGGGTTTTCTGGGCCTTTCTGACGCTTTTGACCGGCTCTGTCCTTGGCTCCTTCCCTATTTCTATTAAGTCTCAAGGACTCCTTCTCAGGGGACTCCTTCCCTTCAAAATGTCGACGCCGGTCCGCTCCTTCTATTGAAGAAAGTTATAATTACGGAACGCCGTTTGCTCCTGCCCAGCTGTTTCTCTCACCATTTATGACGCTTTCCATCGTCCATGTTCATTGTCGCCGGCTTACAAGGCTTGGCCTTGGCCTGGCCGCACACCTACATCAACTAGCTGTGTGGTGAGGGGTCGGACCTTGGAGGTCGGGGCTCAGGGGTGAGGGGTAGAATAATAAGCAGAGAATCGTCTGAGTGTGTGCCAGGGGCGCTGAGGCGTTGGGGCACTGCGCACCGCCCCTGGGCTCAGCCCCGGTTGCTGCCATTTTTAACTCACTCCTTTGCCAGGTGCCAGGATGAACCCGTTTTGCTCTCATGTTAATTAGCGCCAAGTGAGGCTCCAGTGTGCAGCCGCGCGCCACACGAAACGGCCAAGTGAAAGACAGGAGCAAATTAAGCCAACAAGGCAGGAACCGGACAGAGGTGCTCTTGGAATGGAGAATATACAGACTCCCGACTCCAGATGCCTTGTCTTCGGGTCCTCTCGAATGCGACTGCAGATCGCCGCGGATTGCGAAGAGATGAGCGGTCCAAGCCTTGCGCCAAACCGTGATTCTATCTCCGGTGCCCTGAGCCGTTGTCAGCCTACTATATATGCAAGTCTTTGTTTAAACAATGAATGTCATCCGTCGCCCGAACTGGTTGGTCTGGCCGTCTAAATTTGCGCATCCATCTGTGGCTTGAGCTGAGCACATGATCAACGCAGTTCCCATCCGCCATAAATGTCCCAGAAAGGCATCTCAAGTCCCAAAGTGACGGTGTCGAAGGAAATGGGAGTTCAGAGAGAAAATCAGGGTAAAGTTATGTCATGTTGTGAGGGACTCCTCATTGTAGTATGAGGAAAAGCACGCAACCAGACCTCAGCTTCGTGCAAGATTGTCAATAACATGTCCTTCGAACTACCCACCGGCTTCCTTTGTGAATATTTTCCTACCAGACTTGCAGTACAAGTGGTGAGGTTGCGCTCCAAAGTAATATGCACGAGAGCGAAAAGAAACGTTGTCAACAATTTCATCTCATCGTTTTGATATGTTGTATTCTCGAAGCATGAAGGCACCTGCTGAGATAAAAGCGGGCCAGCCAGCGGCTGCTTCCGTGTGCACATGAATTGTGCTAGGCGAAGTTTAGGCCTGGAAGAGGCCTGACCTAGCGAGCACCAACAGTTCCAAGCCCAAAACGGCAACCACCTTCGCGGTAGCACTTTCCCAATCGATACGACGCGTACTCGGCAGATCTGCTCTTTCCCCAATATCAATTTCATCTCACTCGCCCACTTTACTCGTCACAGCTCGTCGCACCTTCCTTGTCTCAGCGACATCGCGATCACGGGCTCGACTTGTCGCCGACTCACCCCCTTTTCCCAACACAGTGCACTTTGAGGCCAACACTGCACGCTCGCCCTCCCCCCCCGCCCACCCTTCATGCCCCGTTTCCCACACCTCCTGCGCCTACCGCCCAAGCTGCGCCGGCGCGCACGGCGGCAACGCATGGCCACGCTCTTGGCCCTCCTGGCCCTCGTCGGCCTGCTGTTCGTGCCCTTCTACATCATCTACAAGCCGCCCCGGCCGCTCATCAGCTACTTTGTCAGCCGCTGGCCCGACGTGCTTTGGCGCGTCGACCTGCCGGTGCTTGTCACGTCCGGCGACCCGTCCGAGCGGCCGGCCCAGCGCAAGCTCGTCGCGCTCACCATTGACGACGCCCCCTCGGAGCACACGCGCGGCATCCTGGAGGTGCTGCGCCAGTACGACGCCCACGCCACGTTCTTTGTCATTGGCGGGCAGGTGCCGGGCCGGCAGAGCGTGCTGCGCGAGGCGCTGGCGCTCGGCGGGCACGAGCTGGCCAACCATGGCATGCACGACGAGCCGGCGCGGTCGCTGGCGGACGGCGCGCTCCAAGCCCAGATTGCCGAGGTCGACGCGATGCTCCAGCAAGTGTACGACTCGGTGCGCGAGGGCCGGCACGGCGGGGCGACCAATACGGAACTGGCCCAGACCAAGCCGCCACGGTACTACCGGCCGGGCTCTGGCTTCTTTAGCGACCGCATGCGCACACTCGTTGCACAGCTGGGCTACAAGCTGGTGCTGGGCGGGGTGTACCCGCACGACGCACAGATCAACTACCCATGGCTCAACGCGCGGCACATTCTGAGCATGCTGAAGCCGGGTGCCATTGTCATCTGCCACGACCGGCGATCGTGGACGGCACCCATGCTGCGCAAGATGCTGCCGGCGGCCATCAAGCAGGGTTACCAGTTTGTCACGGTCACGGAGCTTCTGAAAGCAGGCAAAGAGGGGGACTAAAACGACATTCTAATACGGCATTCTAATACGCTACATGTCGGGTGACAACTTTGAAACGACTTGGGTTGAACCTCCGGTGGGGGAGAAAACAAGGACAAGGGCGAGCCGCGACTACGCCTGTTTGGCCTCGGCCACGAGCTCGGTAAAGGCACGCTCCAAGTCGGCCTTGATGTCTTCCCAGCTCTCGACGCCGATGCTGAGACGCAGCAGCCGCTTGTCGACGCGCGGGTCCGTCATGGCGCGCCACTCAATCAGGCTCTCGACGCCGCCGAGGCTCGTCGCGTGGTGGAACAGCGCCAGCTTGCTCGGCAGGCGGCGGGCCTGCGCCTGCTCGCGCAGCACGAGGCTGAACACGGGGCCGAACCCGTGCGGCATCTGCTGGTTGAGCCACGAGCCCGGGTCGGCGGCCTCGGGCTGCAGGCTCGCGTGGTGGATGCGCTCGACGACCTGGGCCACGACGCTGCCCGCCTTGTTGTGCTCCGCGGCCAGCCACGCCACCAGCGCGGCCGCGTTGCTCGCCTGCCGCTCGACGCGCAGCGCCAGCGTGCGCAGGCTGCGCACGCCCAGCCAGCCCTCGAGGCTGCCCATGACGCCGCCGATGACGAGGCGCTCGCGCTGCAGCGCCGCCAGCCAGTTCTGGTCGGCCGCGCGCGCGGCCGGGTCCTTGACGTACTTTTTGTGGACGGCCAGCACGCCGCACAGCAGGTCCGAGTGCCCGCCAAAGTACTTGCTGCCCGAGTGCATGACAATGTCGGCGCCCCACCGGAACGGATCCAGCAGCGGCGGCGGCGCAAACGTGGCGTCGACGGTCAGGTAGCACTTCTTGGCGCGGGCCAGCCGGGCGTAGTGCGCGAGGTCGCGCGCCTCGCCCGTCGGGTTGAGCGGCGTCTCGACGTGCACGACGTCGCCGGGCTGCAGCTTGGCGAGGTCGTCGTCGTCGAGCAGGTCCAGCTTCTCGAGGCCGTTGAGCTTCTTCATAATGTCCAGCACGCCGTGGCAGCCGTGGTAGCCGGCGCCAATGGCGACGCGGCGCGGGTTGAGGAACACGACGAGGGCGTGGAAGGCGGCCATGCCGGACGCATAGGTCAGGGTCGGGTGCCCGATGACGTCGGACAGGATGGCCTCGAGGCGCGTGGTGTTGGGCGCCGAGTCGCGCGAATAGATGTGCGAGTCGTAGGGGGCGACCGGGTCGGCGTTGTCCCACATGTGCAGGGCGTCCGGGTCGTCGGAATACCGGAAGGTGGTGGACACGTGCATGGGCGGGGCGACGGCACGGTGGGAGTTGACGTAGTCGTCCGCGTGGACGGCCCGGGTGGCGCTGGACAGCGTGAGCGGCTCGAACGCGGCGGCCAAGCCGTCGGGGCCCTTTCCTGCAGCGACCATATTGGAGGAGCGGTAGGGAACTGTCGAGACTGGAAGCGGATGGCACTCTGCAGGCTGTTTTGGAATCGTTCTATGGGAGGAATGGAGTTTGACGTTCAAGACGGGGATTCTAAATCCTGCAAAGGGTGATGGAAACGGGCAATTCTTGTATCAGTAGTGCAGCTGGCACAGTCGGTTTGCGAACAAGGCGTGTCACTCGTCAATGGCAAGGCGTCACCGATGAGAGTGGTCAGTAGTGATATCCCAAGGAAAAGAGAAAATAGACGATTCATGGCCGGCTAGTTTACGGCGTCCGAGGCAAAAGTGCGCTTGGGACTGCCTAGTAGAGCTCTAGCGGCCTGGCTTCAGGCGTGACGGCGACAATGTAGTACTAACTCGCACTGCGGCAGTCAACTTTGGCGGGGTACCGATTCCGGACTTGATAGCCCGATGGCACCATCCGTTGTAGAACTACAGAGTAATGTGACCACTCCGCAAAAATGTCCAGATTGCATTTGGGCAAGTCGTGCAGAATAGACTGTTCTGTCCCGACTTCACACTCATGTTCACTTTCTACACTACGGCTGTCTTTCAGTTTCTTAAGGTTCTTATTTTATTTTATTCATCCATTATTCCTCCGTCCTATCCTAGGGCTCTTCCTTGCAATATATATTTTTTCTCGAGCCATAGTATTTTTATCATTTTTCCATATCCGTAAGGACAGGTAAACCGTCATGCGTGCTGTGAGTTGTGCACACGAAACCGGAAACCGAAAACAGAAACGCCAGTACTCGGGGGACAGCACCGTTTAACAAAAACAGAAGCAACCGCTGCCAATGCTGGGTATCGTCTCAATGCAGATGCACGTTATGCTGTTCATCCCCTTTCCAACCGCGAGCATGGGAAACGGAGACGACGCACTACAATGCAAGAACGCAGAGAAAACAATGAAACAAAAGAACAAAAGAACAAAAGAACAAAAGAAAACAAAAAAAGACGACGCAAAAAAAACGCAATGGTCGTAGGGGAGGGGGGGCAGGGGAGAAAGGCGGAACGGGGGAGTCTACAATGCCTCAAATCTCAATGTAGTCTTTCTGGTTCACAAAGTCGAGGTCGGCCTCGTCGCCGTCGGCGCCGACAAACTCGTCGACCTCGTCCGAGTCGACATCGTCGCTGTTCACCGACTCGTCGTCGCTCGACACGTCGACGTACGCGCTGTCGCTGTCGGTGGTCTCCGACTTGTCGGCCGTCTCGACGGTCCGCCGCATAAAGCTGGCCCGCTCGCGGTGCGGCAGCTTGCAGCCCTTGATTTTGCAGACGCCCGTGTTGCTAAAGTCGGGGCATTCAAACACATGGCGCGCCGTGCAGTCGGCGCCGCGGTCGCAGTAGCCGTAGAGACCAAAGGGCCGGCACACGGGCGCGCCCGACGAAACCTGCGAGTGAGTATAGGAGCAGTGGGGGTTTGTGCAGTTGCCTTTGGCAAAGTGCACGCAGAACGGCGTGCGCTCAGGGGTCAGATCGTGCGACAGGTCGCAGTCGCTGCCGCGGGCGCAGTCGCCCTTGAGCAGGAAATCCTTGCACGCGGCCACCTTGGCTGCGTTGTGCAGGAACCGGCAGCTGGGTCCTTTGGAGCATGAACCTAGAGAGGGGGGGGAAGAAAAGTACAAAAACGCATTTGTGCAAGAGCAGAGACGTCCGGAGACGGCAACGCCGAGCGCAAAGTACAAGACGCATGGTTAGTCAATCGAAAACGGGGAATGCGAGGTGGGAGGGGGGCGAATAGAGCTTGGAAGGCTTCCGATCCGAATGATACGAGGGGCCGTCTTCGAAAGCCGTCGCCGTAAAGGAGGGGAGCAATGGGGTTGGGTCTGAATATACCGGTCGTGGAGAACGCCCTACAGGGCTCGTCCGTCTTCTTGATCGTGCTGCCTCCGCGCCTAGAGAAGGAGGAACATCCACTGGTCAGCGCCACACCGTTACCTAGGCCGCGAGGCACATACCGTTGCTGGGCCTTGACCACGCCGTGGCGGTAGAGGTTGCCGTTTTTGCTGCGGTAGAACTTGACACCGCCAACAACGGCCGTCTTGGGCGTGCTGGACGCCGGGTGCGGGTCGGCTAACGACGGGTGAGCAGAGTCTTCATAAAAGTCACAGCCGGGAGAGCGAGGCGGGGACAGCGGGAGCAAGGCCGACGCACTGGGTAGTTTCATGAGCTTGCTGCCGTTCTTGGCCACGGCAAACGGGATGCCTTCAATCACAACCTGGTAGGACTGTGGTGTAGTGCTTCCGCTGCCGTTGCCGTTGCCGTTGCCGTTGCCGTTGCTGGCCGTCGGCCGTCCGTGGGCGAGATGCGAAAAATGCCTTTGTAGCTTGGCCCGTTCGCGGGCGTCGCGCATCTTTTGGCCCTGGAGTCGTGTCTTCTCAATGGCACGGGCCCGTGACTGGGCATCCTTCTCGTATACATCCGCGTTGATGAGCTGCATATGGCGGTCGTTCCGGGCAACCCACGTCGCGGATGGGCCGCCGCTGCCGCTGCCGCTGCCGCTGCCACTGTCCGAAACGGTCGTCGAGTCGCCGTTCTCGGCACCGTCGGACCTGCTCGGGGCACCGGCGCTGTTCAGGACGAGGGTTCGATTTCGGAACGGTGCAGGCCTCTTGACTCGGTAGCCGCCGCCACCGATACCGCGTCCTCGTAAGGCATATGGTTGGCGTCTGTACGATGGTGCGTGGTACGTCGACGACGAGGGCGGGGTGCTATAGTTGTTGTAAGGAGACGAGGGCACCGAGGAGATGCCGGCCTGTTGATTCTTGTGGCGGTTGATGTGGCCTGTATGACTGTTAGATGCTGTGAGAGCGATGATTATGAGAAAAGACGTCCTTCTTACCTGCCAACTGGCTGATGCGCGCCAGCAATTCCTGGTCTTCTGAAGTCATAATCTGAAAAGACAAGGGAAAACAGATGAATAGGAAATGAATAACAGGATGCACGCTGTTGCGGGCGGAAGTAAATATGCACGTCGAGCAGATGCGCTGTTTGTCTGATGAAGAACAAAATACACAAACAGCCTCGCTGATGAAATGCACGTCAGACGAGATAAAGTGCAGGCGCCTAGGGTGGAGTCGGTGGCAAAGTGAGCAGCCAATGACAGTGCAAGGCAGCCAACGACGAAGCGCCTATTCACACGTGACCACCAGGCAGACGAACGGCGCTAGACGACAGCTGGGCCTAAGCTCCAGGCGACGGCACTGGCGGCCCACCCAAATGCCGTTTCGGGCCAAAGCACCACAACTGCGTGCTCGCAGCAGCCTCACCTCTTTGTTCGCTCGCATCGACAGGTCCCAGGTCCCAGGCGCGTCTTCCGAAAGCAGCGCCCCAGCTCTCGACCAACACGACTCTTGTCCGATTTAGGAGACGCCCGGCGAGGATTGATTTGACGCAGCGTTTGTTCGACGGGTCGGCTGCGGTTTTTGTTTCGTCTGCCGGACGCTCGTCGACCGCCTCTCATCTCTCTTGTCCTCCGCACATTCACATCCCTTCTCCCAGCCCGACACGATGGCCGACGACGCGACAGTAAAACAGGAGGCGTCCTCCCTCCCGATCAAGATGGACGTCGATGCCGACGACGGCGGCCTGGCCAGCATCCCTGCGATTGGCGGTGGCGAGGACGACATTTACGAAGACGCCGGCGACCTCGAGTTCTATGACGCGACACAGCCCGGCGACCCGTTTGGCAACATGTACCTGGTGCGCGTGCCGCCCTACGTGTGGGAGGCGTGGGACAAGCTGGACGACGACGCCGAGATTGAGATTGCCACGGTGCGGCAGTGGACCGAAGTCGACAAGAAGACGGGCGAGCCCAAGTACCGGATGCGCATGCTGCTGCGCAGCGACCTGGGCAGCCACCAGGCCATCCCCAAGGAGTACGAGCTGGACCTGCCCATGGTGGACACGGCGGGCAACCGCAACGCGGCCGGCAGCGGGACCGGCGGCGCACAAAACACACAGATCAAGAACACCTACCTCTTCAGCGAACAGGACCTGCCCGGCTTCAAGGCCAAGAACAAGGAGCGCGCCCAGGCGGCCGCGGCCGGCATCCCGGCACACCTGCTGCGCCAGAAGAACAACGACCGCGTCGAGAAGCCCGGGGGGCAGCCGACCCAGAACCACGGCCGCCACCACTACCGGCGCCACCAGCCGCGCCAGGAATTCTTCCGCAAAGCCATCCCCAAAAAGACCACCGTGGCCGGCCGCGTGCGCCACGAGCTCAACTGCGCGCCCGTCAAGAACGCCGAGTCCGACCTGATCTTGAACGAGCGCGCGCGCGCCGCCATGATCCCCAAGGCCCAGGTCAAGTTCGGCGACGCGTCCAAGCCCGAGTTCCGCATCATCGGCAGCGGCGGCATTGCCTCGCAAAACTACGCGACCGATTTTATCAAGACGGCGCAGCCGCCGCCCAAGGCCAAAAAGGTCGAGGCCAAGACGGCGCGCATGCCCGAGAACGACCTGCTCGATCTCATCTTCAACTGCTTCGCGCGCTTCCGGTTCTGGTCGATGCGCGCGCTGCGCGCCGAGATCCCGCAGCCGGAAATCTACCTGCGGCACACGCTCGAAAAGGTCGCCGACCTGCACCGCAGCGGCCGCTTCGCCAACAACTGGGAGCTCAAGGCAGAGAACCGCAAGGACGGCTCCGCGACCGCCGAGGTCAAGGCGTCCGAATACGTCGCCGAGACGGCCGACACCGACACCGACGGCGAGGAGGAGGACATCAAGCTGGAGGACGTGGTGCCGCCGACGGCATAACAGTTTGTTTTGTCTCGAGGTGTCGGCCCTATTGTCACGTTCCGGTTATGTACACTTTTACACTTGTCATTTTGACGGGGTTCTGTCTGTCTGGCCGGTTTGCCAGCAGTGGCGTCTGGGTTTTGCTTGGGTTTCTTTTTCCTTTTTTTATTCATTTTTGCGTCGACGCTTGTAAGATACAGCAAAAATGACAGGCCGTGCAGCGTAGACAAAATGCTGCGTCCGGCCGTCGATACATCTGATACCAACTAGTAAATCATAAAAATTATAACATGCAGCCTCAAAAGGACACCGGATTGCAGTACAAAAGCCATCGTGTCTGGCCATTTCGTGATGTTTGTTGTCAATTCGAAAGTGGAAGAGCATCGACAGCCAACATCTACTCTGCAGGGCCTTGGATGACGTTCACATTCTTATCAGAGAAGTTGCTGGGCAAGCTTACGTTTTGATTGTTATCTTTATATTTCCTTGTATTTTTTGTTTATTTTATCACTATTTTCGACAAAACACACATCCACGTTCATACTCAGCTTCCTCCCGTAGGTTGTATTTCTTTTGAGCTGCGGACTTGGTGCCTAAGACGTAAGAAAGTAGAGAAATAGGCCGATACACTAAAAAGGAAACATTGCTGCCTAATGTGATAATCACAACAATGCATGTATACATGTAGATTAGTGGATGAAGAGAGGGAGTGGCTGCCTGGCAAGTCTGGCAGTGGTGTTTGTTCATCTCAGATCAAGCAAATAATGTACGCGGAGAAAAGAGTCCCAGTCATACTGGAGATGAAGTCAAACGCAAGTCGGTTTCCATGGTGTTTCTGTAAGACCTCTTTTGTTTCTCTTTTCGTTGTTCTTTTATGTGAGACAAAACCATTCAATACATTGGCGCTATTTTACGTTCATTTATTTCCCTTTTTATATTTCGGAGTCCCTTTGTGCTCCCTTGCCTACAGACACAAAATGATGATACTACGGGAGCACATACCGTGCAAATGCTAAGGATAAAAGAGGAACGAAAAGACTAGCTGAGACGGGGACCACGGGGACCGCGAGCCTCAGGTTCTCCGTCAATATAGAGCTACCAGCCCTTGAGACCTATTCGAGGAACACAAAACTCACGGCTTCAGATTTACATCAGTAGGCCGCACTCTTGTTTCCCCTCTGCCCCCTGTCGCCGGAACTTCCGCCTCGTGTATGCAGAGATGCTCTCAGCCTCCAACACCCAAACAACCAACGGAAAACCAGAACGAGGTCGATCAGTTCTCGACTGCATTATGCCATCCCTTTCCATTGCCTCCGCTTGCCCCATCCATAAGCAAGCAATTATGTTGACCCGTATGAAACACATCGTACTTTGACAGTGTTGGTAGGAGGGTCCGGTGTCTTGAGATGGAGACAACTAAACTGGGGGCGTACGATCAGGGAGGGGAATGGGTATGGTATGTGATAGGGAAATAGGATGTGAGTGTGTGAGCGTGTGAGAGTGTGCAGAGTGCACGTATGTGTTGTCATCGTTTCTCGAGCTTTTGGTAGAGCCGGTGTGAAGAAACGAGGCCCGCGTGGGTAGCACAAGCCCTGCAAAGGGACAGAATAGTGTTTTGTCGGGCCTGCCCAGAGGACGAATCACTACTCCGTAGGACCTTTTCTTTCTAAATTGACCCTTTGGCCATGTATGCCGCAGGCAAAGCTGGGATGGGAGAACACATGATGCCGGATGACGCTCACTTATCACGAGATAGCGGATTAAAGTCGCTGAACTGCGTGTCGTACTGAGAGAGTCGCAGTGACATTCCATCCAACAGCGAACTACATCCGTCGACTGGCAGTACGCACTGGTACCTCAAATCGCCACACGCGACTGCACTTGGGTTCTTCTCGGGCTTTCTCTGCCTCGAGCTGTATCTTTCTTGTATCTTCCGTCCTGCCTCCGGTGTTGTGGTCCGTACCGAAGAAACGCTTTTGTTGACGCCGGAGTACAGACGGGGTTCCAGTCTAGGCGAGTCGTTATACTGGTGATCCGACGCGGATGTGGTAAATGCTACTGAGAAGAATGTGAAAACCGAGCATGAGCAGCGAAGAGCAGACATTGCTCGACGTGCAGACGGCTTTTTGAAGATGCACACAAGCACGACGCCGTGTGACGGAGACTCCCACGACCGCCGGGAACCTATTGGAAAGGGTGACTGGAGGGTGTCTCGGATCCGATACCACGAAAAGGACCAGCTGCAACTCCAGGGCTCGCACAGCAGCGTAGCACGTTTCTGGGGGTTTCAAGGGACCAGCAATGTCTCGTGAGCCGAGTGTTCATTTAGAAGAACTTGGATCGTCCCGACACATATCGTGCTGGCTCTCTTTGCTGTCGATTTAATGTGCCCCTGATTGTATCTTGTAGATGGAGGTCTGTTCTTCATTAAGATGGTTCCGCTTGGATGGGAATTGAGTTATGGGGAAGTTTGGTGTGTTTGAGAAAGTTGGGAAGAATGGGGCTCGATCTCTTCATGCACGGCGTGTTCACATTGGACAGCGTGCGTGCCCAACGCACGCCGTGCAAATGTAACATATCTGGTGTGTGTCCATAGATAGCACCAGAATAAAATAAAAAGGAAGGAAAGAAGGAAAGAAGGAAAAAGAAAGTTACAAGCAGGCCTGGAAAGCCACCGACACGCCGCCAATCATACTTTATGACTCTGTTTAGCCGCATCTGCTGGGTGATGCAAGTTCATTGGGGTTTTTTAGTTCTTTCTTTCTCAGACACACCTCGTACCTTGGCAGAGTGAGGAAAAAGAAAGCAGATCAGGTACTCATTATCTTGCGTTCAACTCTGAACTGCATTAGGGTGGGTCTTTCCTTTCCTTTTTTCAACCCTCAGATAGAGGTGCATGGCCGGCACTTGCTTCTCGTATCTCATCGTTTTCAGAAAAGAGATAGATGATCAGTCTTTTGTTATAGCAATGTGAAAATGGAACAAGATTGGCCACGTATCTGCCGCATACCAGGACCGTAATGTGTTAAGGAAACGACCGGCCCTGGGCATCGTTGTCATGGAGAATGCAGAATGCTTCTCCATCGGACCACGTTGTGGCACAAAAATAAAGAAACGGTGACCAGCACAAATTCAAAGATAGAAATGACTGGGACTGTTCCTGCTTGCCCCTGTCTCCCATTACTTTTCTTCAGGCGTCGGAAAGAACAGACCGGAGGAGAGTGAATATCAAAACGTAAGAAAGCTCAGCCGTACTGCTTCGTACCCGTACACTGGCTCACTGGATACGACATTGGAGATCCTAAGATGCAGGATCCACTCTTGTGCCGGGGATATGTGAGGTGCTTACCGTCCGCTGAGCGAGGGCTTGCCTGGGGTGTCTTGTCGTTTCTGTTCACGGGGTCAGCAGAATTCTCCAAGATTCTCCCCCACCCAGCCCCTCTCATCCTATCGGTGCTCTGGTATTGCATTCCTGCATGTGTACTTCGAACTTCGCTGCACCAGCCGCACACAAGGCTCTGCATATTGCATGGCGTGTGGAGCACGGAGTTTCCTGGAATCCAGCGGTGGAGAGGTCCAACCTTATTGGATGCGTCAACGGCTTGTCAAGGACGTGGAGATATACAAGCTCTGTTCCGAGGCGGTGCAGATATGCTCCGTACCAGCGTTTACAAGCCAGATCAGTACTCATGTTCGGGCTTGTGAAATGGTGGAATTGGGTGGTGCCCTATGATAAGCAGAGTTGCGAGGGGCGGTCTGAAGCCGCCACCCCGTATCTGTTCGGGATTGCCCAGCTCGTCCCGGTTGAGCTTGTCTTGTCTGTATGAGGGAATGTTGTATATCGTCCCCATAGTCCAGTGACCGATGCGTAATGGGCAGGAGACCACGCGGCTGGCTTGCATACACAGTATGGATTTGCTCTTTTGGGTGCGTTTCATTCAGCTTTTCGTCGTGCATGTGGCATCCCAGAGCAGGCCCCATTGCTCTTTGCCTCTTGTCCACCTGCCGTGCATTAGCGCCTTTGGGAAACCATGGAAGGTCAGCAGAAAGACATGTTGTGTTGGTTTATGCTGTAAGATGGAATCTTGTACCCATACCTCACGACAAGACAAGAGTGCATCCCGGAAGCTAGAAAAGACGTACCTGGACTTGGCCAATTGCAACAATTGTGCGCGCTGCTTTCTTTCTCTGTAAACGCACGTTCCGTACACCTGGCCGCGGATCCCTGTTTCGCCTGCAATTGTCGCTCCGCCGGAAACCCTGTCCCTGTGCTAGTTCTCTAAGCGGTGAGGCAGATGTGCACAGAATGCATGCCTGTGTCATTTGCTTCGCTTTGTTTCTGTTCACCGTTGTATTGCTTGTTTCCGATTATCTGAATCAGTTTTCTCTGCACTTTCTTTTCTCCGTTTCTGCTTTCTCTCAGTCTCACTCCAGCACTGGAGCTTTATTACCTGCCGATGAGCAGGACATGTCTTCCCTGCTGGTCGGTCGGCCAGACTCGGGGCCATGGGACCTTACCTTGTCCCCCACTGTAACAGTTGCCAACCAACATCTGAATTGGAATTGAGAGTCGTAGCACAACGTAGGAGTCTTTGCCCTGTTGAATACAAACAAACGCAAAAGGTCGGACCGACGTGGCTTTGCTCTTTTCTGTGATGCGTACGGGGTATTGTTCAGCGTATTCCGCCAGCCTGTGTTCATACTGACCTTGTGCATCTTCTCTGGCCCTTCGACGGCCAAGTTCCGTGCACTTGCCGACTTTGCCGTCGTTCGCCAGAAGCTGCCTCGCTCACCTCTTGGAGCTTGTCAGGTCTTTCTCCGTATGGGGAAATATTAGGGTCGGCCACGTTTGGTGCCCCCACCCACCCCAGCCATGCCGCAAGGCAACAGATCTTCAACAACTTTCGCCGGTTGCTTTTCTTGTCAATTTGATACCGGCCCGTCAGGTGGACCTTTCCTAGATCAATAAAACGTGCAGTTAGCATGTCTGTAAGTCAGATGTGTGCCGTATGGGGAGGCCAATCCCTGTCCAGTGCCCGAATTTTGTTCGGAGAGAACCTTGGGCAATATTACGGAGCGCATACCGCCATTTCCCAACCTCCGACCGTCCTCGCCGAAGGTCTGGGCCCAGAGCGCCAATGCATGCATGCACGACCTTCCGCGACATCCTTTCCCTCTGTGTCCTTCTGCTCGTTTCGTGTGACCATCAGTCCCAACCATTAATAGAGACCGAAGTACGACGTACGGCGTACTTGATAAAACCTCCTTTGGTTTATGTATGTTTTTCCGATTTGTCGATGCGTCCTGTTGAGTTTGTGGTCTTCATTTCTTTCTTACCTTTTGCTCACGTCTCTCCAAGTCAAGGACTCCCATTAAAGCAACATATCTCTCCCCGCCTCTACAATTTGTCTTCCGCTTGTGCTCGTGTTGCACCGACTTTAAGCTTCTTCGCCGCGGCTCTCTTTGTTGTTTTGCCTTTGCTCTTGCTGCTATATGAGCACACGGACTAGCATTGACACTTCTTTAGCCCTGATTTTTTTTATTTTTTTACGGGCGAGTATCCGACCTCACCTAATCACCCAGCCTGGAAACGAGTCAGTATCTGGCGGTTTATTTTGTCACCCTCGTATCCCTTGATGGCCCCGGAGTGCAACACACTTGGACATCTCTGGTTACGACAAGCGCTGTCCACTTGTCCTCTTGCAACCACGCTGATCAGTTCTCACCTTGCGGTCGCACAATTGCAACTTTCACAAGCTCGTCGTTTTAGACATTGCCTGCTCGAAGACATCGGCATTGACAAGGCGAAGACCGAAGGAGACGTAGTCGAAGGCGGACCTTTTGCCAGGGCTCAAACCACAACCCAGTGGACGTCACCTCACGCAGGCACCCGCACTCCAAAGTCAGGTTTCAATCTCGGAGACGGCATCATCGATATCAAGCATCGCCACACAGCCTAGGAAAGCGAATCACGCTGTTTAGCCACGGAAACTCAACAGATCAAACAAAACAATCTCAGCAAACCTTGTCTGCGATACCTGGAGACGGGTGGGTCGCATCTCTAAACGACAAAGGGCACCGCTGTCCGGCCGTATCCAGTCCTGTCTTCGCGACTGCCGGGTTGCGCCAAGCCCGTACCTCCGGCTAGTTGTCGGGTCCAGCTCTGCCCTTTCAGGCGTCCGCATAGGTGGGACACGCAAGGGTCGCACGAAGATCGCAGCAGACAACACGACACTCTGCACGATCAAGAAACACAGCTTGTGCAATCGAAAAAGAAGCTCGCTTTCTGCAACCTGCGCGACCAGCGATCGCTTTGAAGGACTCTACCTGCATTGGCAACGGCAGTCCTTCCTGCCTTGCTGCTTGTCGTTGCTGGTGCTATTGCTGTTGCTGCCAATCCTCGGCGCCTTTGTCGCTGTTTTACATATTGTTGGGTGTCTTGTACGCTGACGCGCCGCCCGTCTTTGTTTTCGCGATCTTGCACCAGGGGGAAGTTGTGTTTGTGTGTCTCACCCACCAGTTTATTGTTGGGAAGGTGCGCCAGTACATTCGTAACGGAAGGAGCATTGGGCTCATATCAAATCCATCTCGCCTTCCCTTGGAACAGATTTCCACCAAAGGTGCCGGTTGCTCTTTCCTCGTCCATCGGTCGCTGCTGGAGAAAGGTCTGTTGTTCCTGCCCACACGTCACTGCATCGCCATTTGCTCCTTCCCGTTTTTGTCTTATAAGCAAACCTCCCCTTTTCCCGCACCAACACACACAATTGCACCGCCTTCCCCATCGATCGTTACCTGCTTCTCTCCGTACAATTTCTGAAGCTTTTCCGATTCATTTTGCTCAATTTGTTCCCTCTCCCAACAACACTCTCGCTGCGACCCAAACTCTTTCTGCTGCGCACGATTTTTCCGATCCCACCCCCCTTGTTATTTCCTGGCACTTTGCCACTTGGCTCAGAGCCTCACTTGAATCCTCCCCCGCACAACGGCTGCCTAGAACGAAAACATTGACAAAAGGGTGTTCCGGATGGTCTAGGCCAATCTAGTTCCGTCCCGTGAGCCGGCGCACAGCCAGGTACCGATTGCCCTGCCACGCTGCTTGATGAGGTCCAGTTGCCCTAACCAACAATATGTATACAGTGTTTGTTCTGTTTTGAAACGCCACAGCAAGCCGCATCCTTCCAGGAGCCCTCCCAACTGCCCCCGGCATTCATTCACCGGTTGTTATAGCTGAGCTTCGTTCCGGGCTTTACACTTAAATCAGGTGTCTATTTCAACAGAGCTGCACGCTTCTCTTTGACCCAAGTCAGCATTCGCCCGTTGGCATCCTCGCCCTGGCGCACGACCTGCCATTCTCCCCTTGCATTGCGGTGCTTTCTCTTGTGCATCGAACCAGTGCTATCAACTCCTCTACATTTGCGCATGTTTGAAAGTCCTCCTGTCTTGCACCTTTGTTTTCATCCCCGGTCCCTTCGACTCCATCCACAAGTTTGGCCTCGGCCTGGGCCTCCATTTTCAGCCCTGTGTTGGAATCTGAGATTTGTTTGAGCCAGTTGCAGTATCATCCGGACGCAGCCGACATTGCTGAGCTCTTACGGGCCACGCTCAACTTTTACGACCATGTCCAGCTTCACCACCTTGGTGAAGCCTGTGGACACGGCTCTAATAAGCCTTCACTATGCCTTCCCGGCGGCCATTTTTGGTTATTTTGCCATTTCGTCGGCTGTCGCTCTCTGCACTCTGTCTGACAAAAAAGAGCACCCTCGCCGACGTCCATTGCTGGCATTGATGCTGTTCACAGTATTGAGCTACGTTGCTCAGATTGCCACTATCATCATCCCCTCCATCATTGACAAGGAGTGGCTGGGCCAGCAGGATGTTATGATCAGTCTGTTGTCGTATATCCTGGTTTTGGGGCTCCAGTTTGCCATGCTCTCTGAAGAGCCAGAGGTGGCGTGGTACCCATTCATTGGATCTTATGTCCTTTCTCTAGTTCTCGAGCCGGTTCTCCTTGTTGTCGGCCTCACTGCTCGCCCTCCTGGTCGGCTCTCTGGGGTGGAGATTGCTCAGGTCACCATTGTATCTTCTCGGTGCCTTGCCGTCGGCTTGGTTGTTGCGACATATTTCACATGGAGACAAGTGGACGACTCCAAGGATTCCACAGACGCCGAACAGCAGCCTCTCATTCCCAAAAACCCCGACGGAACACCGATCCAAACCTCCGATGAGGGAGACGGGTCACAGTCTTCTACCGCATACGGATCAACGAGCACAACGGCGGCTAGTAGTTCGGCCAACTCTACGACTGGCAACTCGGATTCGGAGAACTCGAAAGATGGGACCAAAGACGACAGCAAGGACGCAGATGACAAAGCCAAAAAGACAGGCGAAGAGAACACAAACGAGCTGCCCTGGGAACGTCGTGAGCGCAAGAGACGAGAGGAGATGGAGAAGCGTCTGAAGGAAAACGGAAACTGGTTTGAGTACGCAAAACGGTTCATGGTGAGTCTTACTTCTCCTGGGTGCAGCCGTCTTTATATTGGGTGTGTTGTAACGACCATTGCTAACATGCGCAGATCTTCTTCCCTTACATCTGGCCCGTCAACAACCGTGCCCTTCAGATCCGGGCTCTTCTTGTTGGCTTGTGCCTTCTGGCAAACAACGCTCTCAACGTTCTCATTCCTCGCCAGCTCGGTATCATTATGGATAGCCTCAGTCATGCCAATGACAAGAACCCGTGGGTCCAGGTCATCATCTTTGCGTTCCTCAAGTTTGCCTCATCCCAGGCGGGAATTTCCCTGCTACGCCAATGGCTCTGGATCCCTGTGGAATACTATTCCTTTGGCGCAATGAGCATCGCGGCGTACTCTCATGTTCTGAACCTTTCTTCCGATTTCCATGATTCCAAGAGCTCTTCCGACATCATGGTCGCGATATCGTCGGGCCAAAGCATTTCCAACCTTCTCGAGTCCATTTGCTTCTCGGCCATTCCCATGGTGATTGATATGACCATCGCCTTTATGTATCTTTCGGCCACTTTCGGCCCTTACGAAGGATTTATCACATTTGCGACCTCTATCATCTTCCTCTATATCGCAGGGCGTATGATTGCGAGTCTCAAGACGGCCCGGCGCGGGGAGGTCAACGCTTGGTTTGACGAACACTATGTCCGGCAGGCTGGTATTCAGGGCTGGTCAACAGTTGCCTCCTTCAACCAAGTCAGCCACGAAGAAGACAGGTACTCGAGTGCCGTCAAAACCCGGGTCACCAAGTCGCAAGACGTCTACATTGGATATCTCTTGGCCTATGCCTTCCAGTACCTCGTTCTTCTGGCTGGTCTTCTAGCGGGCGCTTTCTTGGCAGTGTACCAAGTGACATCTGGACAGTCGACACCTGGACAGTTTGCCATGCTCCTCACATACTGGACCCAGCTTGTTGCGCCCCTGACATTCTTCGCTGGTCTGGGCAAGAGCATCTCCAGGAATTTTATACATGCCGAACAACTTCTGGAGATCATGAACACCAAACCCACAGTTGTCAGTAAGGAGAATGCTGATGATCTTGAGTTCTCTGGAGGAACCGTTGAATTCAAGGACGTCAGCTTTTCCTACAACGACAAGAAGGATATTGTCAAGAATATCTCTTTCCACGTTCCGTCTGGTATGACTGTCGCTTTCGTCGGCGCTACTGGCGCTGGCAAGTCTACCATTTTGAAATTGCTGGATCGTTTTTATGATGTCACCGAGGGCTCCATTAAGATTGACGGGCAAGACATCCGGGACGTAGATCTCAAAAGGTTCGTTTCCTGTCTGTGTGCTTGCATTTCATGATTACATATGTCACTAACTCGATATCTAGTCTTCGATCGCGGATCGGGATCGTGCCCCAGGCGCCCATCCTGTTCAACGACACAATCATGAACAATGTTCGATATGCGAAGCTGGATGCAACCGACGAAGACGTCTACGATGCATGTCGTGCTGCGGCTATCCATGAGCAAATACTTGGATTTTCTGAAGGTATGCGGACATCAACTGTGAACAACTATGAAAGCTCTGTTTCCGTATGTCTTGACCATTAACAATTCCATAGGCTACAACTCAAGAGTTGGTGAGCGGGGCATCAAGCTTTCTGGGGGTGAACTACAGAGAGTGGCAATCGCACGGGCAATTCTCAAAGACCCGTCCATTGTCTTGCTCGACGAAGCTACTAGCTCAGTGGACACAGAGACAGAGCAAAAGATTCAAGATGCCCTGCAAGCATTGTGCTCCGGCCGTACCACATTCGTGGTTGCGTAAGTTATCCCACTCCCCACGTATAGCCACCCTTACTTGTCTTGTGCTTCGACGCCAACGTAGAGCTAACACTCGCACGTGTGCAGTCACCGCTTATCTACTGTCATGAATGCCGACACAATTATTGTCATTGCGGATGGTGAGATCGTCGAACAAGGAAACCATGATGAGCTCATCGAGGCGGGTGGAAAATACGCCAACCTATGGTCCAAGCAGGTCTTTACAAAACCAAAAGACAAGTCCAAGGCGGCAGACATGTCCGGTAAAATATCTGATCTTGTCAACGACCTCACCGCCGATGAAGCCGGTGACGAGGTCACTAAAGCAACAATATCCCCAGCGAAGGTGGTGGACTCGACGAGCCATGGAAGCACGTCAGAAAATGCGAACGAATCAACTTCAGGCGCCGGCTCGAACGATAACAAGACCACGGAGGACCACAAAGACGACGATTCCGGCTCAGAAACAGCAACGGAGACAATTTCGAATTCGGATCGGAAGAAATAGGTATGATTACTATCAAACTGCCTTTTTGTTTTGACTCTTCCGCTTCTAACCATTTTGATGTCTCCTTATCCAGGGGCCCCGACTGAATCCTGTTGCACCAACGTTTACACCCCGACAGTCCCCCTCGACGCCGTATAAGGTATCAACAACGCTTGACGTGCCACATTTTCTTGATATTACGACCACTAGCACCGTATCCCCTTCTCCCCAGGTCACAGAAAGTGGGAGAATTGCACGGCACAAGCCGGCACAGCAAGCATATACTCAACCAGACATCATGGCCACGACAAATTCCGTGTCCGACCCTGTGACGGTGTCGCCGGAGGCATCTGATCGTTCTGGTTTCCACAACACGCAACGGGGCACAGACGTCACCGAGCCAGACTCACCACCCAAGCCGAGTAAACATCAAAACTCAAATGGCCCAGACCAAAATTCGAACAACAGTGCCACTCGAGGTAGCTTGAGAGGCAGTACGCGAGGCAGGGGCAGATACAACAAGGTGAAATGGAGCCGACCTTACTACTCCCGCCGTGCGCAGTCCAAAAGTGAGCCAACTGCACGGAAGGGTGGCGAGGACTGATCGACAAAGAAATCCCAAAATATAGATAAGGGGGTTTTGTGGCCCACTTCCTTCAGTTTCTTCTGCTGCACCTTGGCGCTGAATAATGGCAAAAAATGATATGAGTTATTGTTGCTCACGGTCCAGGGTCTTGTTTCATTTTTGCGCACATATTCTTTACTTCCTTTTCATGTTCCATTCGTTCCAACCCCCATCGTGCACTTTTATTTCTTTTTATTTCTTTATTTTGTGTCGTTCTTGACTGGAAATCAGGGTTTAGAATGTCGTTATGCACCTTAGGTAACCTTTTCGTTGCCTTTTAAAGGGGTAAAAACCGCGAGCTCACGTCTCTCTTGCGCACCGACTTATCTTGTTTATTCACATCCACGTTCTGTTCTTATTATGAGGCTTACAAGAGCCGGCTTCCCTGTCGTTACGTTGTCATTTCTTATTAATACGTCCCAAAAGTCTAAAAGTTACATGGTCTAGAAAATTGATTTGATTATTACTGGAACCAGAATGGGCCTTCTCGAACTCACCCGGAAGATATTACGGTGTAATGCAAAGGTAAGACAGGCGTGATTGTGTACAATGTTTACTGCAACTTCACCAGCGTGTCCAGGTTCAATAGTAAACAGCTTGAAAATATGGTAGATAAAATGCGAAAGGGGGTATTGATAGATACGCATCCACGGCCACCACAAAAAACAGGTCAACAAAAGAAGTGAAAATATATAATAGTACGCGAAATGGTCCGTTGTCGTCATGAGGGACAAGGGAGAAAGGCAATCATAAAGATCCTATGACACCGAGGTGGCTTTGCAGCGTCATCGTGCATCCCAAACAAGACAAAATCCAAAAAGACGACTTTAACAGTTGACTCGTGAAACAAATCACACTAGCCAATGAAACGCCTCCAATTTCTCGGATACCAAAAAGTAAAAATCGAAATCGAAACCAAAAAAAGAGATTGTTCGCTTTCATTAGACATTTGTAGGTGAAGGGATAGTATCAAGAACAACAAAATAAACGGTGAGAAAAATGAAGAAGAAAAAAAGAAAAGGGAATTAGATAGGGTCAAGACCCTCGAGAATGCGTCGTGCAGCATCGATGCGCCGCCGGAACATGCGGCTCTCCATACTCGCACGACCGCTCTCGGACAGGCCCAGCACGCAGCGGCCCAGGTTGCCGACCAGGCGCTCGACGAGATACTGGTCTTCCTTGGACAGCGCCTCCAAGGCTTGGGCTTGGGCGTGCGAGGCCATGCCACCATTCGTACTGCTAGCAGCGCTGCCCGCGCGGTCGTGGAACGGCGCGCCGAGGCTGGACACGCTCGGCTTGGTGCCGAGGCTGGCGCTGCCATGGCCGCCCTGCTCAAATATGCTTGCCGTCTCGTTCATGATGATCTCGGAGATGCTCCGGAGCTCCTCGTTGTCGGAGACAAGGCCACCATTGAGCACTGGCTGTGCTGCCTGAGTCGGCGTCGGCGTCGGCGTCGACGAGGCAGAGTTGTCTCGGTTGCCGTTGGGCAGGGTCGAGACGGACGAGGTCAGACTGTGGGTGCCGCCACTGCTGCCGCTACGGTAGCCGGTAGCGGGGCCTCCGTTCGCGGTGCTGACACTGCCGATGCGGTTGCGGTTCACGAGCGGGAAGCTGCGCGTGGTGCCAATGGACTCAAAAGACGAGATCGACGGGCGGTGGCCAGCGACGGCGCTGGCCGGGCGCCGCGCCATGGACGGCTGCTGGGTCTGGCGCGGCTCTTCGGCACTGTTCCTTTTGGGGCCGGACCCAAAGTTGTCCTCGGGCGGTGCGGCGGAGGCGACTGGCGCGGGGCCCTGATTGGCGGCGGCTGCACGCGCAAGGAGCACGCTGTCCGGCCGGTATTTGGCGGCAGCAGCAGTCCGCGCATCGCGGTCGATAACAACGACGTCCTCCTCATCGGAGCTGACGTGGTTGCTACGGCTGGTCCGTCCCTCGGTGGCCGTTGCGAAGGAGTCGGCGGACTCGACGGTGGAAATGGAGCTCATGCTGGTCCGGCGGTTCGGGCTTGGGAAAGCGGCGTCATTATTGTTGTTGCTGCTAGACGAAACAGGGCCCCGCGTGGTTTCGACCGAATCCTCCGAGCTGAAGCTTCCGCTCCGCGCCAGACGCTGTTGGCTGATAGTCCCCAGGGCGCTGTGCAGGATGAAATGCTCGTAGTCAAAGGCATCCTCGCGGTCTTCGTGCGATACAGGGTGCTGCAGCGCTTCATGGTACAGCGACTCGCCGCTCTCGCTCTCGTAATCGACGTCATCTTGCTCGAACTGCTGCTGCGACGACAGGTCGCTTGAGTCATCGTCGTCGGCGCCCAAGTCGTACACCTCGTTGTTGTTGAAACCGTCGTCGTTTTCCAGTTGCTCGGTTGCTTCGGCGCTGTCGACAAAGACATCCTCAAGCTGTCTCGGCTCGCCGTCGTCGGAAAAGTCTCCATTCTCGGTCCGCATATCGTCCACGTCGTCGTCACCGGGGATAGTCTCGCTGCCAGGGATTGACCGGGCTTCACCCAGAACAGGGGACTCGGTCGCATGCTGTGATATATTGGCGTAGGACAGCTTTGTCACCACTCCGTCCTCCACGTCTTCGTATCTGCTCAGGACAGAGTCCCCGTCCGTCTGGTCTGCATCGAGCGCAGTGGCCGTATTCCGCCGAATCTTACGAGCGCTACTCGAGCTACTGCCGCCGCTGCGTTGCAAACGTGCGCTTCCGGCGGACGAGGAACCGCTCGCTTGCCGAGGTGGAGGCGTACTGACATCGCCGCGGGTGGCCACGGGGTTTCTTTCAGCCGCGCTGTCCGCAGCCCGTTCCTTGGTCCAGTTGTTCTGGTGCTGGCCTGAGCTGCCGTTGCCGGAAGATTCGGGGCTCCCATTCGACTGCGGTTGCTCGGCGTACCACTGGTCCACCTGCGAGTGCGTGAACGGGCTAGGTGTCCTAAGACTTTGAAGGCTTCTGCGCTTGAGGCTGTCGGCACGGGCCTGCTCACGGAGCGTCGAGATCTTGCCCTTGAGGCCCTTCATTTGGTCCTTGAGGTCGCGCATCTGGGCGACGGACGCCGACCGAGTCAGCCCAGACTGTCCGCCGTTGGCGGCCGAACCGAATGTTGGGCTCAGGAATGATTCTACTTGGTCGCTTGAGCGGTCCTGCGATGGCAAAATCTCATTGTCGTCGGCGCCGTCTACCTCGTCCAGGCGCTCCAGGACAATGTCCACCGGCTTGGCAAGACCAGCCCGGTGGTAGCCCCCACTCAAGCTGTCCTGGATTTCGTTGATGCGATCAGCGCTCCTGGAGCCGGTCTGCCGTGGCTTGCGGTAGCCGCCAGCGGCACCAAGAGCGCTGGCCGACCGCTGCGGGACGTTGCTGGGCAGACCGCCGGTGATTGGCACGGCGCCGTCGCTTACCATGCGGGAGTGTATTGGCGAGCCGGGGTTCGGGTCGTGGTAGCGGCTGCTGGCGGTCGCGGAGCGGACAGGTGTCTTTGGGGACGGCGTAGAGCCGTCCGAGGGGAGTGAACCGCCAGGAGGGGACGAGATATAAAGGGAGCTGCGAGCGCGGTTTAAGTTGCCTTCCATCGTCTAATAATAGGTGGGCCGGTTAGTTCACAAAATCTCCTGTATGGATACTGGGCGAGGATACGTACCGTGAGTCGCTTTTTGGCATTGGCCAGAATCTTTTCAGCACGCAGACTGAGCGACGCGGCAGACAGCCGCCGGTCGCCTTCGTCGCTTGTGTTGCCTCCGCTACTTAAGCCACCACTGCTGAAATCCGGAACGGCGAGTAGAGACGCTGGTGCGGCCGAGCCCAGGATCGGCACCTCTCGAGCAACATACGGCTCCTCCACGTAGGACTCGGCCACGCTCTCCTCGTCGTCGCCCTGGAAGACGCTGTCACCAACGCTGACGGTGTCGTCAAAGTCGGCAAAGAGACCACCCTGATCTTGTGTCCTTATTGTGCTGTTGCTCTCGAGCGAGTCCCGCCGGGCGGTCTGCTGTTGTTGCTGCTGTTGCCGGGCGCGCTGCTTGACGCCGTTGGAGCTTGCGCCTACATTCTGCTGAGGTGCATCTTCGACACCCATTGTAGGCGATGACCGACGCGGCGCGTCGGAGAGATTGTCGCGGCTGCTGAGCGCCGCCTGGAGGGTGTTGTGGCTGGAGCTGTGGTGGAAGGGGCGGAGGTTGTGCGGCAAAGGGGTCGGTGACGGCGTACAGGAGCCCTCTGAGCCCGCAGCATCAAATGGACCGCTGCTACCAGCACCGCCAGCGGCGCGGCGTCGTACGGATCCTGGCGAGGGCCGACCGGGGGTGCTTTCGGCCTCGGTGACCTCGCCAATGTCGGAGAGCATGGTGCCATTGCCGTAGATAATGGGGGTGGTGGGTGTGATGGGTCCGGCCGGAAAGGCGTGGTGCTCTTGAGAGGAGGCGGCAAAGAGCTGCTGCAAGTCGGTGGTCGACGAGGCAGCGTGGGCGTTCTTCCACATCATGAGCGGCGACTGGGAGCGGGCCGGGTGGTCCTCGTCGTCGAGGCTGGGCGAGAGCGCAAAGTCATAATCGGGTAAAATCATATCAGGGTTCGTCAAGGTGGGCGACGCTGGAAGGTTCGGGTATGGCTGCGGGTGTGCACCCATGCGGCCGTCTGTGGCGGCCATGGTGTCGGCGTGGAAAGGCTATTTAAGACAGGCAAAACGAAACGAGAGATGAACGCATGCGCACACAGGCGTACTGAGCGAGGCGGGACGGAACGCGGGACACGATGAAGCGAGCCGGCAGCTCGTTGTGGGGCCTCGTTTCGCACCTCGTGGGATGCACGCTGGCAGTCCCTGCCGGGTCGCTGTGGGTATGATCTCGCAGAGGGCGCGGTCGTCCTCCTTAGGCGCAACGGCCTCTTCGTTTTCTCCAGGTGAGCAGCAAGATTGTCGTCCTTTCCCTCCGGAACGATTGTATCAAGCCTCTTGGGATAGGATGTCAAGTGTCCGCGATTGCCAGTTGTCGCGGAAGACAGAGGATGCGCGACACGGGAACCACAATGCAGGAGAGATTGTCCAATATGCGCTCGCACTTTTGAGCCTCGTTTCGAGCTTCCTTATTGTCAGATGGGAGGGCGTGGGAGTGGTCGTTTTACGGCCGTCAAAAGGGGTTCGATTCGAATTATCCGCAGACAATGCGGCCGTGGCGATCGACGGCTAAATCTGTGTGCAGCGTCGGTGCGAGGAAGCAGGAGGACGAGTCGTGTCGAGGCTTCGCGATGTCTCGAGGGTGGTCGAGTAACGATCCAGTTGGAGACCACTGCTCCAATTTTGTCGCGGGTATTTTGAAGAAAAACAAGCTCGTCTCAACGCTCGTCTGCCGGGAGTTGTCGACGTTGGTTCGTCTGGGTTGGTCGAACGGAGCTGGCAAACCCCGAATTGAATGCAACGAGTCCTTTCGGAGGTCGACTTGAAGCATCAAGTGTACAGAAAATGTACAGAAAATGTCGAAATTCGCTGGTGGCTGCACACAAAGCAAGGGCTGGATCTTTGGCCCCTTTCGTCGGGGATTGTGTGGGATGGCGAGTGTCTCCGTGTTGTCGACGGTTTCTTGTCTCGCTCGCTTCCTTTGGTTTAGGCGACAGAGAGGACCGCGTTGATTTTTCGACCTGCCTCTTTTTCTCGTTTGGGTGGATTCTGTCGTCGATCACTGCGTCCAAAACGCCCGATTCCGTGGTGCCACACGTGAAATGGTACCGTTTTCGACGTTTATTTCTCAGAGGAGACGATTTAGGGGCTTGGGGCAGGAGCGAAGGACTGGAAAAAGGGGCGCTTCGAGCTACTGATGTCGATTGTCTTGATTGAGAAGGAGGGCGCTCGTCGTAACACGCGAGGGAAGAGCAAGGCACTGAATCGCTCTTTCCTGCTTTCTTAACAACCTACTTCGTACTCACCTCGCGCATGCTGCCTGGGTATCTGCAGTTTTCTCCTCTTCTGTCTCGTACTCGTCGTGCCTTCTCATTGTTTTTACACTGGGTCCTTCCTTCCTAATGCTGCTTCTTTATTTTTTCGGGCTTCCTCCCCAGTCTTCTTGATTCCCTCACTCATTCGCTCCTACTCTAATTATCGTTCGCCTCTCAACTGTCTGTGAGCCCATTTTAGGGGGTCTCGACTACGAGACCCACTCGACTCAACTCGCGAGCCAATAGAACGCGTAGCTCTTGTCTCTACCGTCGGGATTTCCCTTTGGCTGGGCGTGCAAACGACCGGAACCAGGGCCAGGGTAGCGCGTCCGTTGGACGTGTGGCACGATGTGAAAGACGTCGTGAAAAAGGGCTTGCGCTAGCTTCGCCCAGCGCTAAATCGTTCCTTCATCACGTAAACGATGCGCGAACAGGCATGCATCGGACGGGGAACCGGCCTGGTCGTGCTTGCCTGTTTGCGAGCATGCCTGCAGGCACAATGGCACATTGCATGACAATCGGAAAGAGCGAGCGACAGGAAGGAGCAAATGAAGTCGACCACAGGAAAGCAACACCGCGCCATGTGGAAGGCGCGACGGAAGGCGCACACCAGACTATGAACAGCGCGGCACAGCGTTGGCGCCTTTGCCCGTCCATACGTGCGGTTCTGCCCCCAGGGACCAGGTCAGACCCTACGAAGTAATACGTGCAGGAAAAGACGGCACGGGAAACACACCAGCACCCTGTTTGCGGGCGCCGCCACTCGCTAAAACGGACGTACGATGTCATACAACATACAATGGAGACTCAAAACGTGGCTCGTTCTCTTGCTCTTGCTGTTTGTTAATGCTCCCTGGCGTCCACTCGTCTAAAGTGCATGCCCCTGCCAGTGGTCTTCGTCCTTGCCTGCGGAAGGTGGCAATGGCCCTCTGGTTCTCTGGGGCCTAGACGTCGTGTGCAACGTTCTTAGGCCCAAAGTGGCAATGGCAAACGGCGGACCGTTGTTAAACAAAAGGCACAAATGAGGAAAGCGACGTCCCGAGTGGCCCATCCCAGGGGTCCCTGCTGCCAGTCATCTGGCCAGACTGCCGCAAAAATGAGATTAAGATTAAGATGCGAATTGGAACGGCGGCATTTTTCGTCCTGACAGGGTTCGCAGGGAAAACCAAACGGACAGGCAGAAAGAAAAAATGAGCAGACAACCACGCTCGTCTGATATACCCGTCCTTGCCAAATACGAACGTCAGCTCGATCGATGTCGGTTATGCGATCCCAATTGCCCATGTCTCTTGCATGAATGAATCACAGCTACCAGAACCATAGATGGCGATGTTTGTTTCTTCCCCTGCGAAATATGTAAGCGGGAGCCAAGGAACCAAGATCAAAGACATTCCATTCTGGTAAGATACTGGCACGAGTCGCTGGTTGGCCAGCTCACATCCCGTGTAAGTCGGGCACCACCGTTCTTACTGAAGAGCCCTACATTACAGTGGGCTTGCACGCTGTAGACACGTCGGCAGCCACTTCAGTGCGCCACAGCGAACGAAAGCCGAGGGTCTGGCCTGTGCTTGCTAGCGGCCTCGCCAGGCTAGACAGCACGACCAACATCGAATCCCCACTGCGGGGTGCGACCTGGGAGCTTATTGAGGGCGGCGATAAAAAACGCCAACTGCAAAATTTACAAAGCACTGCAGCGCGTTGCGGCATATGACGTTGTACGCAAACTCGTTCGCCTATCAACAACACCTGCAATACGTCTCTCCATCCACAATCTTCGCCAATACCGTCGCCATGAGCAAGTTCGGTGTCATGGTCATGGGTCCGGCGGGCGCCGGAAAGGTTGGTCCATCGCAAGGCGCACAGTTTTGCTCGTCGTCTGTCGCGAGCGCCTTTGGCTAACATTGTGCTGGCTCCTCCAGTCCACGTTCTCGGCTGCCCTCATTACCCACCTGCAGCTGAACCGCCGCTCCTCCTTCTACGTCAACCTCGACCCGGCCGCCGAGACCTTTGAGCACACGCCCGACCTCGACATCCGCGACCTCATCTCGCTCGACGACGTCATGGAGGAGATGGGCCTCGGCCCCAACGGCGGCCTCATCTACTGCTTCGAGTTCCTCATGGAGAACCTTGATTTCCTGACGGAGGCGCTCGAGTCCCTGACGGAAGAGTACCTCATCATCTTTGACATGCCCGGCCAGATCGAGCTCTACACGCACGTGCCCATCCTGCCATCGCTCGTCAAGTTCTTGACGCGCGCCGGTTCCCTCGACATTCGCCTGTGTGCCGCCTACCTGCTCGAGGCCACGTTCGTCGTCGACCGCGCCAAGTTCTTCGCCGGCACGCTGAGCGCCATGAGCGCCATGATTATGCTCGAGGTGCCCCACCTGAACATCCTCAGCAAAATGGACCTGGTGCAGGGCCAGGTGCGCAAAAAGGACCTCAAGCGCTTCCTGACGCCCGACGTGCAGCTGCTCGAGGACGACCCGGCGGCCGCAGCCGCCGGCATCGACGACAGCGAGGCCGTCGCGGCCGACCCGCAGGACAAGGCGCAGCTGATGCGCGGCACGAGCTTCCGGCGGCTGAACCTGGCGGTGGCGAACCTGATTGACAGTTTCAGCATGGTGTCGTACTTGAAGCTGGACGCGTCGAATGAGGACAGCGTGGGCGCGATCCTGAGCTACATTGACGATTGCATCCAGTTCAACGAGGCGCAGGAGCCCAAGGAGCTCAAGGACGACGAGTTTGACGATGAGGAGATGTAGCCCATCGAACGGGGTCTCGCTGCATGTATGTGTTTGATTTCTTTGGTTATTGGTGTTTGGAAAGAGGCATAGCGAAGGCGTTCTGGATCGGAACTTGCTCATGATAGAAACATACAAAACCTTTATTGTTGCCGAAATGGCCATGCAAAGGACCATCAACTCCTATCCCTATCCGTAATGCAAAACTGTGTCGTTGTCCACTCTACTACTATCGCCAGTCGGCAGTAAACAAGAGAAGAAAACAAAGCCCAAAGTCATACCCAAAACACACGACTGGCAAGAAATGCAGCAACGGAAGAAAGAAACAAAGAGAGCGAACGAATGGGGAATCAGACAAAAAACCGCCCGGAGAACAATACAAAAACACCGTGTCAGAAAGACACCAAAAAGGAATGAGAAAAACTTTGGACGCCATGCAACAAAACACCACTCACAACACATCTTCTTTTCTTCTCCTTCGCCATTGCTCTTGTTTCCAACTTCTCCATATGCATATGAATACACCTACACGCGCCACCTCCTCATCTTGTTCCACTTCCATCTAGAAGACGGCCGTAATCATGTCCGCGTGTACGGCCGCCCTGTGCCGGCTGCACCACGCGGATCATGCTTGTATATCCGCCGCGCGGCAGCTGCTGCTGCAATGGATGCTGCGTGTGCCGACGCAGAGGCAGCAGAGGCGGCCGCAGCACCGCTGCCGCCGCTGCCGCCGTTGGCGGCCTGCGCCTGCACCTGCTGCTGCTGGTACTTGTTGTACTCGGCCCGCCAGATGTCGCCCACAAAGGACGCGTAGCCATACAAGCGTCCCGCAATCGCGGCTGCGTCCTGTGCCGACTGCAAGGGGCCGCGCTGCCACACGGCCGCCAGCACCAGCACGACGCCCGACCAGAACAAGAGGCGGAACAGCAGGTGCGTCCACCACGCGACAAGACGGCGCAGGAGCGACAGGACCTGGATGGCGAGGACCGCCATGACAACAACGAGCAGCAGCACAACCATGTCGGGCGCATTGTACGCGGCGCGGGCGATGCGGTCGAGCACCGGCGTGACCATGGTGGCAAAGGACGAGGTGGCGCGGGCGGTCAGCGGCGCGGTGTAGGGGCTGACGGCGTCGGCGGCGCGGGCGGCTTGCTGCGCGAGGGCCGCGGAAAAGAGCTGGAGCGGTGCGCCGTCGCGGAGTGCGTACTCTTGAAGGAGGTCCGAGACCGAGTCGGGGAGGTAGCCTGCAAGTGCGTTGTCAGCGGTTTGGTGCATAGAGAGGCAATGCCAGAGGGCCGCCGTGTTGTCGGGCTGCCCCGACGGTCGCACGGGCTCTCTCTCCCACATACCCTGTACAAAGGCAAAAGCCGAGCTGTCCATTGGACGGTGGGCGCCAGAGGACGACTAGGCGTTTTAAAGAAGAGGTCGACGAGGTCCACGGATGGAGAAACAGACGCGCTTGTCGATAGTCGAAAGATTGAGGTTGACGCGATAAGGCTGCCTCAGAGCGGTCGAAGCATTTCTTTTGTTACAGAAATAGGGGTCCTGGTTCGTCAACAGGCAGGTCAAAAGTACGTCGTAAAACAGCAGGTGGATCGTCAAAATCGGTTCGGGTGGGATGGAAAGGGGGGCTGAAAATAAGAGAGACACAGCTGCAGATTCGCACACGCGTGGAAGGATAACTCGTGATAACACCCCACAGCCTTATCGCGACAACCTCGCATCATTGTCGCTAACAAAGGCGCGTTACTCCACCTTTCGACTTGATGACTAAGTAAGGATAACAATATTGTCACGTGATGTTTGGTGTAAGTGGTGGCATAGGAGAATGCACCGCTTTATCTGTCTCTTCTTGTAATTTATGTTTTCTTTTTACAGAGTCTTTTTTGGAAGGCTGCGTTCCTGTGTAGATAAAATGGAACAAAAAGGTAGTAGGACATATTATGAATTTAACTGAACGATTTTAAGCGGGGGATTTTTTATTTAATTTGGTTTATTGTATTTGTAGGTTTTGTTGTAGTTTATTAAAAGAAAAAGAAAAGTTTAGTCCAGATTAAGACTACATATTATTCTTCGCAATTGTTTATTTTTCGTTATATATATAAAAGCAACTAATAACCCTCAAGAAAAAACCCTGTCTGATCTGACCCAGGGGACTGGGTGATGAGCCGTCTACACGTTCCACTCTTTGACACTGTTGACAATGCCCCTGACTAGCCATTGCTGATTGACCGCGTCTCGTGGATTATTACGCACGGTATACTCGTTGTACCTGAATAGATACGACATACGCTGTGACCCTCTCGAAAAGATCTCTTCAGGAGGAAGATATGTTCAAACAAGAAATATGGAAACCGGACAGAGGTAGAATTCTACCACCGGGCTTGGCCACCGACGCCTTGGACACACAGCAATACTTGTGGCCGATGCCCAGAGACGGTGCCCAGAAGCTTCAAAAGAGGCCTTGGAAAGGGCCACTTTAATAAAATAAGAAATTACCGGCCGCGTTAAACAGCGTACGTGGTACTGTGATCATGTGCACTTAGTCCGGCGCTACCATGAACCATAGCTCGGCCTTGGTTGAAGAGATGTGCATGAACGTCTCGCCAAGTGACAAAAACGACGGCCGGAAGCGAAAGACCAAGGGAGTTGGGGAAAAGAGTCGTTTGTTTATTGCCACTGGATATGCTTGGTCCGGTGAACAGGGCTCCGGCCGACGGTTAGAACGGACAGAACGGTTCGCTCACGTTTCCATTTCTCGTGTGTCCTCCTTCGATACATTTCCCTCCTCCAGACTCGCTGTTGAGCCGCACCTGTTCACGATGTGCAGGTTTTCCGGTGGTGTGCATTGTCATATTCGGTCAACATGGCTATATCATAGGTACACCTAACATTGTCATGTATATCAGATATGCCGCATGGATTCGCGCTACGTGCGCATGGAAGACGACAGTATTTTTTGCTTAGACAAATGCTCTGCAGGATAGAAGTAGTGGAATAGTAAAATGACCCAGGACCATGCACTGCCATTGAGTGTCAACGCCCGTAAAACGAAGGTAGTAAAGGACCGATGGATGCCAAAATCATCGGCAACAAACCCACAAGCCGCACAAGACAACCGGGTTTCCTTGGAGGAATAAAACCACGGAACTTTGCGTGTTTTGATCTCACTTGCCCTTCCCAGGGTCGGACGTCCGTTGCCAGAGCACTATCGCCAGAGGCCGCGGAGTTGACTGGATAAATGCGCGGCTTGGCTGCGTACGAAAAGCAATGATAGGATCGCCGCCTGCCGCTGGGCTATGGTTGCTTTTATCCTTGGGGGCCGGAAAACAGCGAGTGCCATTCGTTTCCGCTTTCGAAGAGCTTCGCCCACATCCATACATAGTACACAAGAATAGTCGGCCCCAAAATGGTACGGCTCCGAGCAGCCGAATAAACGAGATCGCTGTCCAAGCCCACGTCCGTTTTTGGACGAATCTCGGCGTAAATGCAATAGCATTGATCCCGTCTTGGAAAGCTGTGAAAGAAGACGAGCCAATTTAGGAGCAGACGTCATCTCTTGTCATTTCTCTTGGGACAGCGGAACTTTTTGGCCTGCCCAGCATCGCCTGTCCCGTCCCTTAATATCTGAATTGCATGGCTCGAAGAGCCCGAGTTTGTCCCTGGCAACGGCCCATGAACGCAACGTTCCGGGGAGAGGAAGACCAAAAAGCAACCACCCTCTCATGACAAGAGGCTTTTAAATTGAGCAACTTGGAATATTAAGAGCGGTGGGACGGGGAGGGGAGGACTCCGATGGAAAGACGGGGGCACTCGCCGACTTCTGCTCGAATATAAATAGAGAAGAAGCCGCCTCTTCACTGAGTTGAGCTTGCGAGCCTGAAGATTTCCCTCGCACAGCCTGTCCTCCATCTCCACCACATCCTCATTTTTTTTTTGTCCCAAAATGCGCTTCGCCTTCTTCGCTGCCGCGGCCACCTTTGTCGGGTCGGCCCTGGCCTCGCCGCTCGCCGGCAACAGCACCAAGGCGTGCCTGTCCGCGCAGGAGGCCAAGGACGTTGTCGGCATCTACCAGCAGCTCATTGCCAACTACACCGACCCCGTCTGCGCAAAGTACTGCGCCGACAACTTTGTCGACAACTCGGACAGCATCAACTCCTTTTTGCTGCAGCCGCTGGGCGAGCCCACGTTTGCGAACAAGACAATTTTCATGGACGCGCAGGCCCTGAACCCGCCGTTCCCGCTGGTCGTCGACTCGATCGACGCCGTCGACTGCGACGTGATTGCGCTGCGCTGGCACGCGACCTTTGGCGACGCCATGAAGCCGAGCAAGGGCATCACGATTCTCAAGAACACCTACGAGAAGGGCTGGTGGCAGATTAGCGAGATTGACGTCGAGTTCAACTCGCTGACCTGGCTGCTGGACATGGGCGGCAACTACACCTGGACGGGCTGAACGCTGAACGGTGCCGCCAGACGCGGAAAACGAGAGCCTGCTCGGGTGTTGTGAATATGGACCGGCTCTATGAATGAGCACGGGTTGTTGAAACATGCAAAACGGCAGCGCCTGGAGGAAGGAAAGAAAACCAGCCGTGTGTAAGGCGGAACTGAGCTGTACATAAGTGTTTAGTTGTTTGAATCATTGCTTTTCCCCCACGTTTCGCTGTTGCGAGAAGTGATTGTCGAGGCGTTTGTGTGGCGTGAACATCTCAACATCTCTGTGGATGATTTGCTGTAAGATACAATTGTCCGCCCGATGCAGGCGGCCAGGGCCATTCTCGAGAAACATTCGAGCCAGTCGCGACGGCAAATGTGCCCAGCAGGTATGAGTAGGTATGGGATGCAAGTTTGCGGTGAGCAGTTACCTGCTTGCAAGAAAGAACTGGACTGGCAATAGCGAATCACACCTGTCTCCATTAAGGCGTGCTAAGTGTCATGCTGCCTTTGGTTCTCTGTTGGCTGTACGTGGCGGTGATCGAGGAGTGTGGGACAGCCATCGGGCGATGTTGAAATGGACAAACGTCGGGGAGAAGATCTTCCTGTGAGTTAGACGCCGCATTGATTGTGATGTAGACAAGAAATAGGGGAAAGGCCTCAGCTGGCTATGCTAGCCAGGATGGATTTGGCAAGAACTATCGCAGGAATCTCTTAAATGGGAAGCCACCACCGCCAGCAATATTCGCTTGGCTTCTTGGCACTTGGTGAGGAAGGAGCCACCAATGCCTTCTTCAACTTTAAAGCATCTCAACAAGCAACAACCCCGACAAATTGTGAGGGAAAGAGCGAAGAGAGCAACGTATTGCCTACTATCTATTTCGTTTTAGTGTGCTCCAAAAATGACGTCGCCAAGATCGGGTGCATTAGCGTATCGCGCTGGCTTCAGCTGAGCAAGGGGCCAGCGTGGGCAGCTGCAATGCGCTAAACTTGAGGTGTCCTGCAAATACCACCCGAGCCACTGATCGTCCCTGGAACCCACTGTAAACAAAGGAGAATGTTACAGTCCCGGGCTGTTAGTGGGCTGTCGCTGACGCGAGCTCCCAGCTCCAAGCTCCAAGCTCACTAAATAAAAAAAAGTAGTCCCCAAGCAAAATGACAAAATATAAAACAACAGAGTCGCGAGATTCATCTCATCTCACGTACGCCGTTTGCCTGATGGAGGAGCTGTGGTACTGAATACCAATTGTTTTAACCTTTTACTTTACCAATTGATACCCTGATACCCTGATACCCCAACCGGATCCTCCACAATGGCTTCCTTGACTATTCGCAACATCTCGTTGACGCCGCTGGAGCTGACGCAGGTCGAGCGCTTCGGGGCCGAGGCAATCGAGGACACCCGGGGCGTCACCGAGCACGTTTGGAACCTGGTGTGCTTGCCGTACAACTACATCATGGGCCGCAATGGCCACCCGGCCAGCGGCAGCGGCGGCACCGGCCTCGCTCCCAAACACGGCGCCCAGGCTACGACGACCGACCAGATTGGCAATGTCCAGATCGCGCCCTTTTCGACGACGCAGACGCAGGTCAAGGCGCCCCAGGCGGGCAGCGAGGTGCTCCGGCTGACGTTCAAGGCCACGTTTGACAACGGGGCCAACGTCCGCCTGTACACGGTGGACGTGCCGTCGGCGTCGTCGCGGAGCAACGAGCTGCGGCCGGTCGGCGGCGACGCGCCGCCGGCGGGCAGTGCGGCGGCCTCTGCTGCCTTTTCGGCCGTCTACTCGGCCAACGGCGGCGCCACCCTGGCCGTCCTGAGCAGCGCCGCCCTGTCGCGCTGGATGGGCACCGTCGACGGCGCCTGGCCGCTCTCGAGCCTGTCGCTGCCCGGCACCCACAACAGCCCCGCCTGCCACTATGCGCTGCCGTCGGTGCGCTGCCAGGCCGTCGGCGTGCGCGCGCAGCTCGACAACGGCGTGCGCTTCCTGGACGTGCGCGTCAGCGTCAACCCGCCCAAGCAGCCGCACGCGGACCCGCGCATTGCGCTCGTGCACTCGGTGTTCCCCGTGGGCCTGCTGGGATCGCACCACTTTGGCGAGCTCTACGACGCCGTCTGCGGGTTCCTGGACGCCAACCCGTCGGAGACGGTGCTGATTAGCATCAAGAAGGAGGGCACGGGCAAGGGCTCGGACGCCGACCTGGCGCACCAGCTCGTGAACCACTACACAGGCGGCCCGGCGGACGTGGGCCAGGCGCGGCCGCAAGGACTGGCCGCGGCCCGACAGCCCGGCCAGGCCGAGCCGTGGCGCTGGTACACCGAGTCGCGGATCCCGTCGCTCGACGAAGTGCGCGGCCGCATTGTGCTGGTCCGCCGGTTCCACACGCCCGACGAGGACGTGTTCAAGCAGATGCACGGCGGTGCCGGCTGGGGGCTGGACGGGTCGTCGTGGCCAGACAACTGCGAGGACGGCACGTGCGGCTCGGGCCCGATCCGCCTCCAGGACTTTTACGAAGTGATGCAGACGCCGGCCATCGACACCAAGATCAAGTACGTGCACGGGCTGCTGGCCAAATCGGGGCTCGAGACGTACACCAAGCTGGGCGGGCTGCAGGCGCGCAGCCAAGAAAACGCGCCGCCGGTCCCGCCCCTGTTTATCAACTTCTTGACCGCGAGCAACTTTTTCAATGCGCGGTGCTGGCCCGAGAACGTGGCGGCTCGCGTCAACCCGTCTGTGGTCGAGTACCTGTGTGTGCGGCACGGCGAGGCGGGAGCCGACGGGCAGAACGGCAAAGCCGGTGACTGCTCAACGGGCATTCTGGTGACGGACTGGGTCGGCCACCACGGCGACTGGGACTTGCTGCGGTGCATTGTTGCTTGGAACGCGCGGCTGCAGCTGAAGAATTAGGGTGCTTTGGCTGGCTGGGTGTTTACAGTGCGATATAGAGTGTATATTTACGTTGTACAGATAAGATGCAAGTACAGATAGAAATACATAGGTGGCATGTTATATAGATTGGGAGATGGAGATGGTTGCATGTTTGGAGAGATAATAGTAATATTGGGTATCTTAAGCTGATAAAACGTTTACGTTGTTTCTACATCCTGTGTCCTGGATATCTGGATAAAGAGTCAGCAACAGAGCTCACCACAAAATAAAGACTACACATGTTTTGTGTATTCTCAGCCAATTCAGTTCTCCAAGGTGATAGAACAAGTGAAAAAGTCTCGACATGAGGATTCAGAGTAAAATGCAGTAAGAGGATATCATCTTGATGGCTAGGGAAGGAGGTTGTTGCGAGGTATAAGCAAATACTTACGTCGTCAAGCAAAGTTGAGAATACATGTACTGCATACCTGAGCGGACAAAACGAGTTAGCGGTCTGGTCGCCTCTTGGTATTGCCGCATAGACAAAGTATATGTTTGTATGTAATGCATATTCAGGCTGGAATACGTTAGCAAGCGATCGTCCAATCTGTAAGACGTACAAGGGTACAGGTGTACAGGCGTACATGCGGGACGTAATGGATACATACCTCATTAAATCAGATTTTGATGTTATGTTCATATCCAGGCCGAAGCAAGGATCAAACAGTGTGAATAAACGTATCATCATGTTATGCAACACAGGGTAAAATTGCAGATGGCGGAGTCGGATCGCCAATGTAGTTGACGAGAGATTGTGTAATTTAATTACCTGGCGGACAGTTAGTGGAGGTTCTCCCAAAGACATGCCAGGGTTGCCTTGATACACAAGACGTTTGGTAGGATGCAGATTGAACGCTATGCTGTGGTGTGGCTCAGGTGACGAGATCTCATCAAGAAACCCCCAGTCACCGACCCTCCCTCGAAGGTTTGTACGTCCTCGATTTGGAATAGGAGAGGAGCAACTGAGGGTTCGTTATGTCCGCCCGTTCGTTCAAAGTATCATCATTGTGCCACAGCGGGGGCGTGCGTGCAGGATGGACAGCAGCAGGTAGCTGTAGCTGCCTAAGGAAGTTTCGAGCAGAGTTTGTAGTACCTGGGAGCGGTTAGCAATCCGTTTCTCCCACAGCAGATTCGATTGTCACAAAAGTAAACAGATAGACGTGTATAATCAGACAAGGCTGAAACAATAGGGTTATCCACATATGATCTTCGGCAAGAGGAATTCCTAGATTTGGTATTTGTTGTCATCACTTTATATGGAGCGCAACGGCTCCTGGGCGGAAAGCAAGAAAGGCGTTGCATAGGCCTGCTAGCAGGCAGACGATCGTCTTGTTTTTTTCTTACCTTTTGAGGAGAAGCTGCCGCAGCCAGCTGGAGCGGCAGCGCTTCACGCGAAGCAAAACGAGCAACGCGTGCCAATTGACAGCGACCGAAAAGAGAATATGTCTACCACCCACGAACGATACATGCGACCTGGAGAGCAATTGTTAGCAATGATGCTCGCAAAGAAGACAGGCAATGCACCTTGTACGCCAGGCATGTGCAGTGTTCGTCTTGCTGCTCAGTGCCATTCTGTGAATGTTGTTTTCACCATGATGTGTATGATTTGGATTGTTCATGATTTAAAAAGCATCATAGCAAGAGAAGAAAGAGCAGGCGCAAAGAGGTGGCGGAGAGTGGTTTGGGAGACGAGGAGAGCATCGTACCTTGCGCATTGCATTTCCTTGGGCGTTGTGAGGACAAGATGCCTCGTTGAAGGGAAAGGAAAGACAGAAAGTTAAGGGGAAGCAGGGGAAAGGAGCAGAGACGAAAAAAGTTTCCCAGATTTATTGGAGCTTTGGGACGACGAGAAAAAATAGCAGGAAAATCATTAGTGCGTGGGTGGAGCCAGTCTGCGTCCGAGAAAAAGTGGATACTTGTCTAGCTTAGTCATTTTCGTATCACCGAGGCACTTGTCTCTTTCTGGAAAGGCCGCTGAGAGACCAGAGACAGGGGAGGGAGCCCACTAACAGCGGTGTAGACCGGTGAATTCGGGTTCCGCACAGGGGCTGACGGCCTGGGAACTTCACTGGCCAGCGCTCGGAGTGGCGGTTTTGGCGGTTTGATAGTTTTCTAGTGAATTCAGGCATCAACGTCATTCGCTCGCCCCGGAAGGCGGCCTGGCGTATCGACGGTTTAAATACAGACCGATATCTTACTCGCCGCGGCGCCCACCCTCTTTTCGTCTCCCTTTCCCGTTCGTCACGTCCACATTGACATTTCGTGTGGTTTCCCTGTGCCTTTTTCATTGCGAAAGGGGCATTTCGAGACTGAGCACGACTGCTTGTGTTTGGTGATGGCGTCCCTCGGAGGCATCTGGGTCCCCATGGCCCAGAGAGTCCTGCGACAGGCGCTCACCACCGGCACCAAATTCACCAAAGTTCTCCGGAACCAGATCACAAACGCAACCCGCGGCGATCTCGAGCCCATCGCGGTCCGGTCAGGCCCCTACTCACACGCCCCGCTTCGCCAACCCGTGCACCCGGCCGCCCTCCGCCGCCAGGTTAAGAACAGCGGCAGCGCGCGCTGGTACTCGTCGACACACCGCGCCGTCCGCCGGTTTTTCAGCACCGACGACCCGGCGGCGCCCCGCTATGTCGACCGTGCTGCGTACCTCAAGTCGAGCGTCGGCTCGCACGCCGTCTGGAGGTCGTCCGGGCGCGCTCCGTTTGCGTCGACGCTGCGGCCCAACCTGACGGGCGGCGCTCTGCCGCGCACGGCCGGCGGCTATGCCTCGGGCGGTGCTGGCCGCGGCGGTGCGCGCTACTTCTCGCACACGCCGGCCGCGCCGGCGCAGGTGGTGCAGAACGTGTCGCAGGCGATGCGGGCGTTCTGGGTGTCGGGCCAGCGGGCCCGCTTCGACGGCACCGACGCGCACGGCCGCGCCGCCTACAAAGCCATCAGTGCGCTCGAGGAGGACCTGGCCCGCAAGCTGGCCGTCCCGGCGCTGCCCAAGATGGCGCCCGGCGCGTTTGTCGACTTTTCGCTCAACCCGACCATCACGGCCCTGGCCCCGTTTGTCGGCCTGTCGACGGCTGTGGCCGCGAGCAAGGCCGCCGTCATCACGCTCGGCACCGAGGGCTTCCTCGACGTGCTCAGCGTCGACTTTGCGCGCGCGCTCAAGGAGCTCAGCGCCATCATGAACGACCTGAAGCGGCTGGCGGCGCTGGGCGATTTGCCCGTGCTGCTGGACCAGGGCGAGGGCGCGTCGGTCCTGCGCGTGCGCTTCCCCGGCGTCGACGCCGAGACGGTCGACCGTCTCTGCGCGGACCTGGGCATCACGCGCGGACTCGTGGGCCAGGACCCCGGCTTCGACCTGGCCATGGGCACCTACGCGGCGCTGCGGTTCCCGTTTGCCCCCGACACGCCCGAGTCTCTGCTGGGCAGCAGCGCGGCCGAGGACATGCTGACGTCGCCCGGTGGCTCGCTGCGGTCGCACCAGTCGTGGCTGTCGTCCGACGAGGACGAGGACGAACTGCGCGACGTGTTTGCCGACTACGATGCCACTGGCGGCGCGAACCCGTGGCTGGCGTCGTCCCCGGCGTCGTCTGCGAGGGGCGCCGTCGACGTCGTGGCGATCGAAGCGGAAGACGGGTATGCGAGCATGTCGCCGCCGGTGCCGAGCTCGGGTGAGCACATGTCGCAGGAGTTTGAGGGCCTGGAGGGCATCTACCGTTTCCTCGAGGAGTGTGACCGGGTCCAGCTGCGGTGAGGAGGAGAGAATGTTTTGTGACTGTTGATTTCCTTGCAATTGTTCCGTCCCCCAAGATTGACGTGATTCCCCATTGGTCATTGATTTGCATTTTCCATATCCTCTGGCGACGTCGTTGACCTCATTGACTCGATTGACGCCGAAGCAGATGCCAGCTTGACGCACCTTATTTTTTTTTTTTTTCCTTTTCATTATTTGTCATGAATACATACCAATTTGAATACACAGAAACCATGTACACAATTGCATAAGTGAGATGATGTGATGCCGTTGTGTCGATTGTCCCATTCAGAGGCCTGCAATCATCACTTACACAGCGGATAGTGGAGAGCGTGCGGGCGTGAGTCCACTATCCTGTAGTGCCGGTTGCCAAAGCCGGCGGAAGCTTCCCCGCTATTCGAACCTCGGCAAATGCCACTATAAGCTAGGCGCCCTAGAAAGGCAACAGCTCCCTAGAATGTATCATCTTCAAACGGCCGAGAGCCCCAGACCTGATTCAACAGCCGCTCTTCTTCATTCTCTGTGAATTGTTTTGTTCCCGTCTCTTGTTTCTTCTCATACACATACCCCGATTCACACGCACACACACATCGCCGCCCTCAACATGCCCAATCCCGCCGGTTTCAAGTACCCTCCCCAAAAGGTGTCGTGGCTCAAGCGCGATGCGCTGCTCTTTGCCAACTCCATCGGCGCCACGTCCGACGAGCTGCACTTTCTCTATGTATGTGAGACGGGGCACACGCGTTGGAGACGGAGAGTGTGACGAGAGGCCCTGCTAACGGCACAGGAACTGCACCCCGAATTCTCCGTCTTCCCGACGTACCCCATCGTCCTGCGTACGTTCTTCCGAGCACACATCTTGGGTCGACGTGCCGTCCTTCTGCTAACCTGCACCAGCTTTCAAGAAAACCACCCAGGAAGTCGTCGATTTCTACGCCGCCGAAACGGCCGTCAAGATCCCCGGCGCCCCGGCCCTCGATGCCAAGCGCGTGCTCGACGGCCAGCGTCTCATGCGCTTCCTGAAGCCCCTGCCGCCGACGTCGGAAGGCCGCTCGTTTGAGCTGCGCACGACGGTCGTCGGCGTCTACGACAAGGGCCGCCCGGGCACGGTGGTCGAGACGCAGACCGATCTCGTCGACGCCGCGACGGGCGAGGTGTACTCGCAGGCCGTCGGCTCGGCCTTTTACGTCGGCCAGGGCGGCTGGAGCGGCCCCAAGGGCCCGGCCACCGTCAACTACCCGCCGCCCTCGCCCCGCCGCGCCCCGGACGTGTCGTTTGTCGACCAGACGTCCCAGGAGACGGCCCTGCTGTACCGCCTCAACGGCGACTACAACCCGCTGCACGCGACCCCCGAGCCGGGCGTCCAGATGGGCTTCGGCGGTCCCATCATCCACGGCCTCTACTCGTTCAACTCGACGGCCCACCTGCTGCTCAAGCACCTCGGCGGCAGCGACCCGGCCAACATCCGCGAGTACCAGGCGCGCTTTGCGAGCCCCGTGCGGCCCGGCGACAAGCTGGTGACGTCGGCGTGGCGGACGGGCGACGTCAACGGCGAGGGCTTCGAGGAGATTCGGTTTGAGACCCGGATCGAGGGCGGCAAGGTGTGCCTCAGCAACGGCCGTGCGCTGATCAAGGTCGTCGCTGCCAAGAGCAAGCTGTAGGGGGATCTGCTGTGTCTGGCCGAGAAAGCAGAGAGGGTGCAAGATGGAAACGCAATTTGTACATATCATGTCGTAAATGGAACGAGAAAATAGACCCACGTGACATCTCTGGACAATTGCGCTGTGTTGGTGCGCTAACACCCCAATCGGCAGCTGCGATCGGCGCAGTGGCGCACCGCGGATCGTTCCTGCCCCTGGGAGCTGCTAGCGCGGGACAACTTCAACGTCCATCGCCAAGTCTACACGAAAAGAAATCAACATGGATGGCATAACATATAATCTAATTCACCCAGGAGCGGCAATTTCGACCCAGCGAGCAGTTCTTTGTTTTTTCTCTTTTTCATTTAGCAGCATATAGACTGTTTAGACTGTTATTCTGCTGCCTATCCGCCCACGTTCACCCGCCGTCTTTTCCCTGCTGCCTAGAAATGCACACTCGACCGAGATTAAAGAAGGCATAAGACATCGCAGAGCAGTTTGGTTGGAAGGGCCAGAGAATCACTTGGACGATAGACACGTTGGCCCCGCCATTGCACGCCATGGCCGCAACACAGCCGACACCGCCCGCCTTCGTCGGCCAGCGCCGCTCCTACGACGGCGCCCTCTGCACGGTGCGCTACATTGGCGAGGTCGCCGGCACCGCGGGCGGCACCTGGCTCGGCGTCGAGTGGGACGACCCGACACGCGGCAAGCACGACGGCGTGCACAAGGGCGTGCGCTACTTTGCATGCAGCCAGCGGTCGCGGCCGCCGCCGGTCGTGCTGGTGGGCGACGTGCAGCACCCGGCGCTGGCGACAGGACGGCTGACGCCGGCGTCGTTTGTGCGGCCGACGCGACGGGCGGACGCGCCGCGGACGTTTTTGGAGGCCGTGCGCGCCAAGTACGCGTCGGAAGCGACGACGGACGCAGACACGGCGGGCGGGGACGGCAAGACGCTGCTGGGCGGCGCGGTGCCGGGACGGCAGATTGTCATATCCGGCAAGGTGGCCGAGGAGGTCGGGTTCGACAAGGTGCGGCGGCAGCTGGCACATATTGAGACGCTGCGGGTGGTGATTCTGGACGGGCAGTGCGTGGTGTCGGAGGGCGAGGGCGAGGGCGAGGGCGAGGGGCCCAACCCCAACGCCGCCTCCCAAATCCAGACGACCTGCCCCAGCATCACGGAGCTCGACCTGAGCCGCAACCTGTTTACCGACTTTGCCACCGTGGCGGCCGTCTGCCGCGAGCTGCCCCGGCTGCGTGGACTGCGTGTGAACGGCAACCGCGTCACTGTGGCCGAGGGCCGCGCGTACGCCGGCTCGTTTGACGGCGTGCGCGAGCTGGCCGTCGAAGAGACGTTTCTGTCGTGGGCCGCGCTGGGGCACCTGACGGCCAATTTCCCGCTGCTGGCGTCGCTGGCGGCCGGCTCGAACCAGCTGACGAACCTGACGCCGGCTCTGCCGACGGCGTCGCTGGCCACGACGCTGACGACGCTCAACCTCGAGTTCAACGACTTCACAGCGCTGTCGGACCTGGCCAGCCTGTCGGCGCTCGCCGCCTTGCGCAACCTGCATCTCAAGGGATGCCGGATTGCGCAGGTTGCGGCCGACCCGGAGCGTCCACCTGCGTTCGCCTTTGCGCACACCCTGACGTACGTCGATCTGTCGTACAATCTCGTCACCTCGTGGGCCTTTGTCGACGCCCTGCCCGACGTCTTTCCGGGGATGGTGTCCCTCCGCTTTGCCCACAATCCCATCTACAACAATCCGAATTTGGACGTGGCGTCTGCGGCGGCGACGACCCCCGCGGCGACGACATCAGCGACAACAACGACAACAACGACGACAACAACACCGGCCACCGGCGCATCCGCAGGCGCAGCCACGACGACCACCGCCTCCACGGAAGAGTCGTACATGGTCGCCGTCGGGCGCCTCGCCCGCCTGCGCACCCTCAACTTCAGTGCCATCTCCCCCACGGACCGCGCCAACGCCGAGATGTTTTATCTCTCGCGCATCGCCAAGCAATTGGCTCTCGTGCCCGCCGACAGTGCCGCCGAGGCCGCCGTGATTGCGCGGCACCGGCGGTATGCCGAGCTGTGCGAGCTGTACGGCGAGCCAACCGTGGTGCGGCACGCGGAGATCAACCCGGCGTTTTTGGAGGCCCGGCTCGTGCAGGTTCTGTTTGCCCTCGACAAAGCAGGCGAGGAGAGGAAGGCAGCCATCCCCAAGTCGTTTGACATGTATGCGGTCAAGGGTCTGGCCGGGCGGCTGTTTGGGCTGTCGCCGCAGAAACTGCGACTGGTGTGGGAGACGGGCGAGTGGGATCCCGTGGCCGGCATAGACGAGGAAGACGAGGACGAGGACGAGGAGGACAACAAGGAGGACGACGATCGAGCGAGGGAAGGGGAAGACAAAGCGGAAGAGGTGGTGGTAGAAAACGAGAATGCTCCTGCCGACGCCGACGCTGACGCTGACGCCAATCTGACGGGTCGCTGGGTCAAGCGTGAGGTGGAACTCAAAGACAGCCCGCGGCAGTTTGGCTTCTGTGTCGACGGCATGGAGGCGCGGATACGAGTGGAAGTGAGGTGAAGACGGGCGTGAAGGAGGATTGCAATCTATAATAACAATATACCATGACGAACAAATGCAAAGACAGACAAAAACAAACAGTCTCCTGCAGAGCTGATCAGAACCACGGATGAGATCTGATAGTCTTGTCGACGACAAACCAAAAAAGCAAACGAGATCATTTCACTCCGCTTGTGTGGCACAAGAACCTGCCAAAGGCCCATCCCACACCAGTGTGGCTCTGTTTACACTCAGTTTCCATGGCACGTAACCATGGTCTCGTTGTCATCCTCTAGTCAGAACATACAATACGCCAAAGCAGGCCGCCAACGGTGTGTCACAGATTGGCCATATTCCCTAATATAAATATAACCTCCCTGCCCCTCGATGGCGACTTGTCTCTCTTCTTTCTTTTCTCCCAACCCTCTCGTCCACGCTGGCTCGTCCCGTCCAATTCCCATTCACTACGCAGGCACAGAGTCGCCATTACCGGAGCCTACCCAGAGCCTCGCCTAAACAGACAGCAGACTCTTTACACAACAAAGTAGCAAACGGCCAGAAACAATGTCGCCTCGCACCATCTACTACGTTGTGCGGCCCGGCCTAGCAACGACGCTGCCGTCCGGTGGCCGTTCTCAGGCACCGGCACGCCTTGTCCCTCTTGTTGCTGTCGACCAGCTGCCCGCGTGGGTGGACATTGTCGGCGTGCCGCGTGAGCTCACGCCAGAGCAGGCGGCGCAGATGATTGCCATTGCAAGCGACGGTGAAGCAGACACAGCAGGAAAAACAGACAACGACGAGAGCCAGCACGGCCAGGCGGGCCAGAACGCCGACGATGTGTTTAAGGTGCGCATCGTCACGAAACAGGGGGGTGCTTCCAAGGCCATGCCAGCGGTGGCCCAGTCGCCCACCGCCACGGCGGAAGAGACAGAGGAGACAGCGCGTCCGGTGTCTCTGACCCCGTCGCCGGATGTGGAAGACAACGATGCACACGTCGTCGTGGACAAGGCCAAAGATACCATAGGGGCCAAAGAAAACAAGGCCAACGAAGAGGTCACACATACTGACAACACATCGTCTGCTCTCCTCGCCTCCCCGCATCTTCGGCAGGGCGACAAACACACCGACGGCGCCCTTTCCAGCATGGTCGATGACATGCTGGCTGGCCTCAATGAGACGTCCCTCGGCGCGATTCTGAACCATCCTGCGCTCGTCAACGACCTCATAGACATTGACGTCGCTGCGGGTCAGGCTGCCCCCGTTCCGCTCCCGATGGACGGACTGGCCGACGAGGCCCAGGGTGACGAGGAGTCTGACCATTGCGGCAAGGACAAGGACGACACGGACGACAAGAGGGTCAAGCCCGCCGCCGCCGGTAGTCCTTTGAAGACACTCAAAGCCGGATGGCCGCCGCTGAAGCAGCGTTGTGCGAACGCCGTCCGGCCGTGCCGCCGCTGGTGCCGCACCGGCTTTTGGTAAGGGGGGGCGGTGGACGGTATTGTGACACGATGGAGTCTGCGCTCACGCTAACAGCGACAATCCAGCCCCTTTGGCGACAGCTGCCGCTACGCCCATGTCCTGCCGCAGACGCCCGAAGGCCTTGCGGCCATTGACATGGACCGCCTGCCGACGTGGTGGACGAACCGCGGCGGTCGAGCAAGCAAGGCCACCATCACGGCAGGCATAACTGCAGGCATCACTGCAGGCACCACGGCCGCCGCCAGAGGCACCCGTACGGCCGCCAGCAGCCAACGGCCGTCGCCGGCCCACCGCACCACGCGCAGCAACAGCAGCACAGCCAGTTCTGGTGACAACGGGCCCTACCTCAACCAGTTCAGCTGCTACAAGACGCCGGACGCGTCGCAGAGCGCGCCACACCCGACGCAGCGCACACGTGCGCACTCGACGGCGGTGGTGCCGACACAGACACATACCCAAGGCCCAACCCACAGCCATAAGCAAGTCCTCCATCCGCCCATGAGCAGCGCCATGCAGATGTCGCGCCCGTCGCGGACGTACACGTCGCGGCCGTCGAGCCGCACCGGCGCCGCCAAGGACGGCAGCAGCAGCGACACCAGTGCCGGCAGCGGTGGAGGCGGTGGAGGCGGTGGAGGCGGCGGAAAACAGAGCGTGCCCCCGCATCTCATTGCCAAAAAGAAGCTGCATCTGCAGCTGCAGCGGGAGAAGGAAATGGCAGAGCAAGTGGACGAGGGACAGACGCCATCCGCGCCCCCTGTGCAGGAGGTCGACGACCTAGTCGACCTGGTTGACCTGTAAGGACATAGACTCATAAGAGGAGGTTGAGGCATCACATCGCCCGTTCCACAGACGAGCATTTTGAGCCTTCAGACATGGATGGGAGAGAGGAAAGGTGGCAAAACATCCTACTTCATGGGACATGGACATCAACGATACATACTGAGATGTACAATATCCATTGTTGCAACCGGCGAGTAAATGAGGACGAGTACAATATTCTTTATTTTTTTTCTCTCTTTTTTTCATCACCTATAGCATACTAAAAATGGAGACGATAAAGACATCCTTGCAAACCTCGCCAAACAACTCCAACCTCCACATAATCATATTATTTCACATGTAAGAGCCACTTCATTCGAACGCAACAACGGCAGCCTCTAGCCATCCTAGTTGGCTTCAATTTTCCAGCAAAAGCAACAAGCAACACGTGAAACACAATGAACAATGAACACTACTTCCTTAACAATCGACTACCGGCAGTTGACACTTGGACAAATACCTCACCCTTCGCTCCTCTTGGAGGCCAATTATCTGGCAGGGATCGTCAGCGGGTTCACTGTATGCCCCAAGTGAGACGAACAACAGAAAGGACAAAAAAGAAAAGAGAAAAAAATAACATACGACAACGAATAGTAATTTGAGAGTGATGTCAAGAAGGGAACAAGATGTGCGGAAGATGCAGAGAGGAAGCAAATAAAGAATACCTAGTAGAGATCAGAGTAGCTCGCAGGGAATTATGGCAAGTAACTGACGATGACCGAAAGACAACACATATTGTCACATAAAAAGGCGCAATAGGACAGTATATCAACAATAAATCAAGGACTGAAAATCGAAGCTCAATATCAGAAGACACGATATCCAGACTCAGTAGACTGTCTGAATCGTTCGGATCGAGGCACTGCAGATGTTAGCCCGATGCCCTCCAAGGACGGCCTCTTGGACAAAACTTACCGGCATCGAAGAGGAGGCCGTGTTCTGCGTGCCTCCGCGCCGTGCGAGTCATCGGGGTTCGAAATCACCTCACAATCGACCAGCCGCTGCGTTGTGCTGACAAACGACCGCGTTCCAGGCTTCCCAAGGCTGCTGCTGGCCACACTGGCTGCATCGTCGTCGGTTCCCGTGTACTCCTCGACCTCAAACGTTGACGGCTTGCGGGCGCGACGCAGCGGCCGACTGCGGCCGACAAGTGCTATTTCCTGGTTGATATTCGGGGCGGTTTCGTTCTCTTTCTCACAGAAATCGCCGGTCTTGGACCCCCAGCCACGATCATGTCTGGATTCGTTGGCCTCTCCGTATCCGGCGTTTGGCGGCGACCAACAGTTCGTCACGTCCGAAAACAAGTCGAAATTGTAATCTGGAACAATTGGATCGTTTTCGAAGCTGTTGTAGTGAAATTCTGCAGCGCACGTGTCGTCGAACTGGTCATCCTCCTCAGCTTCGTCGCTAAAGGGGTTGGCGGTCTCTGTCTCACACCCATCGTCATTTCCCTGGAAGGAGCGGCGAGAGCCAACCTCTGAGAAGAGGTCGAAATTGTACGGCGGGATGCCTTCACCGAGCTGGCTGATTGGGTCCCCGTTCTGATCATCATAGTTCACGCCAAGTGTGCTGGAGCGAGGTGACGGGAGCTCTTCAGTGGCATCAGACATGGCACGGTGAGCGTTCTTGAGGTTCCAATTGCCCGCAGACGGCTCTGCACCAACATAGCCAGTGCTCCAGCCATCTTGGCCAGCATTTGAGCAGGACCCATAGGGGGCATCATCCTCAAACGGAGCAGGCGACTTGGGGATGGAGCGCTGAGGCTGGCTAGTTTGCGGTTGATAGAGCTCTTCGGACGCCATAGACGGACTGACCGTATGCACGCTGAATGTGCGAGGCACGCGTGTGCTTCCCGGGATTGGCATCAGCGGGCTGTACGGCGTTGCGCCATACATGTCATGAGAGGCCGGCTTCAGCGGCGACGAAAACGCATCCCTCGTCTTGCGTCCAGTCAAGGCGCTGGGCATTGTCTGGCAGTAGAACACGCTGCGGTCGGCTTCCGAGTCAATATGGTCATAGCATCGATGACTATGAGGTGTGCACATAAGGTGTGGCTCCTGGTTCTCCATGGCCATTGTACGACGCTTTCTGTACTGCTCGAAATTGACATGGTCGGAAGCACAGCGACGAACCGACTTGATGGGAGGTGAGGCGATCACAGCTGGGCGACAGGCTGGCGGGAACGATGCGAAGAAATTGGTCTTGTTGTCCGTGATACGAGAGCCGGTGAACAGGTCTTTGGTTTCTGTCTCGCTTCTCGACAGCGTCTCAAAGCGGACGTGATGCTGAGAAGGGTTGCCATCGCCTGCCAATCGATCACTGCCTCGAGGAGTAGTTTCCAGCACTTCGCTGCGAGGAGGAGGAACTGACGGGCTACTCTTAACCGTTTGGCAGTCGTCCGCTCTCAAATATTCGTGCTCGCTTTTGCTGTACCGTGGTCGGGCTGCGCTGCACTGATAGTAGCTGGACGGTTCTTCGTCATCAGAGTCAAGAACCGACTCTACTGTCGGCGGATGATAGCCCCTTGTCTTTTTCAAACTGCTGTTGGATGCAGTCTTGAGAGGCTGCTTGGTGGGCACTTTAGTTGACTCCTTTGATGGGGCCGTTTTCACCGAAACTGGCTCAGTCCTTGGTTCCTGGGTATGGCTATGTTCATGACGGGACTCCTTGGGTGAAGAGCTTGAATTTGCAATGTGCGCGGCGTAAGGCTTCGGCAAAGACTGAATGGCCTCCTCCATCATGGGACTGATCGAGCCAACAGTGTGGGGCGCCTGGGCCCGATGACTGGACTTCTTTTTTTCATGTATTTCTTGCATTTCCGGGCCGTTCTGCTGTAAAGGTGACTGAAATTGTTAGTACATACCGTAAACTAGTTGTAAACACTGGAATGGTATGTCGCTGTACCTTGACGCGAACAAGAGGCTCAGTCTCGCCCGCAGACACAATGCGGTCGTCGTTGCACAAGTCTAACACTTCACGACATTTGAGACAGTAGTTGATAAGCGTCTTTTTGCCAGGACGGAAAGGATTCGAATCGTGGAACTTGCGAGACCGAATCCTGCCACAGCCGGTGCAAAAGTGGTGCGCCAGTACCTTCTTGTGTCGAGACGACGTACGGCGGTACCGTTGGCTGCGCTTGAGAGACGACCGGCGGCAATGAGACCGGCTTGGCGTGCTCGAGCGGCGAGACCGATACCGGGTCTCAGTCTGAGAGGAGTCATACGACCGGTCCCGAGATTGGCGGCGGCTGTGCCTGTGAACAGGACCACATTCACGTCGGCCTCTGTCAGTGGAGCTTGAGCTGGACCGAGATGACAAAGGGCTGCGAGGCCGTCGTTTGGTACGCCCACTGCGCTTAGAGGTCTGCGATGTGAAGCTTTGTGAGGCGGCCGTGCTGCCGCTGGGCGGAACAACGCTATGCACAGGCATGCTCATTGGCATCATCGGACTCGAAACACCCGCGTGTGGCCACTGATATATATTCGGGAGCGTGTATGTGTAGTATGACGGCACAAACTGGGCCTGAGAAGGGATGGGCGGCGTCGATACGTGTGCCTGGCCCATGAAAGTTGGGTTGTTCTCCTTGCTGTCGACGGGCGGAGTTGTGGAAAGAGACTGTTGGGGTTGGAGAAGGTAGATCTGGGCTGGGATATTGGACAGAGCATACGGTACTCCCGCGTGTGCAGGCCCAGTTGTCACACCCGCGGAACTGTCGCATGGTGGAGCGGGCATGTTCTCCCAACCCGTGTTGTTGCGAATATAGCTGGGTACGGAGGGTTTGAGAAAGACGTCATCGACCACAGGTACGTGAGGTGTCGACGACGAGTCTGAGTTTGACCGTTCACGCCGGTTCCGCATGCCGAGCAGGCTCATCATCATTCCGGATGCACGAGACGTACGGCCGCTACCGTCACGGCTCGCAGAGCCTCTGTGGGATGGAGTCGGCATGTTGGAAGACGAACGAGGCGGATAGTACCGGTCGTGAGCACATTCTTCGTCGACAAACGGTGAAATGATGCCTGGTCTCCGCCCACTGCTGCGTCGGCGGCCCGAACGGTCCTCGACAGCACTGTGGAAAGGCACAAAATGTTAGAGTGTGTTCTGTATATCAAAATAGGTAGAGAACTAGGTCTTACTCGTGATGCCGTGAACGCTCGATGCGAGGCATTTGGAGAAATGCCCCTCGAAAGAGGAGCGATCGTGGCGAAAGTAAAATATTCACAAGGGGGGAGAAATGGGACGCGGCGACTAGATATACAGACAGAATTGATATCTACACAACGTCAACGGTAAAGGGACGGGGAAGGGGATCGACGGAGAATGATGGAAAACGGGACGCAAGAAAAGGAGACGTGGAAGGGGAAGACAAGAAAGCAAAGGAAGTGAAATCCATGGGTCCAAATAATGGGAAAGTGCGAGTGTGCAAAACCGTGTTAATAGTTGTGGCAAACAGAGAAGCCCCAAATTCACAGAATAGGAAACGGCAACCTGTCTGTGATGGTCGCGACTTCCTTTTTTGGACATACTGGGCTCTTAGCTACTGACGGCAATTGCACCCACAGAGCAACATGGCAGCAGTGTGCATATCGTCTAACGGCATATTGCCAAAAGACGTTAACCCACAATGGGAGCAATTCACACAAGGTAAGCGAGGGCAGAATGCAAAACAAACAAAAAGAAAATCTGTATTGAAAGGTGGTGCGATAAATACGACAGACGCGGCGAAACACATGGCCACAACGTCTCTAATTTTCCTCCATAGACGGAGTCCTTCTCCTTTACGTCTTTTATATGAGAGGGCATTGAAAGCCTCCATCTACTGCCAGCAAGCACAATCGGTTGTTTCCCCGACTCCTTGCAAGGTAGAACAAAACAAATTTCCAGTTCCCACATCCGGATGTCACCATCAAATGCTTTTTCTCTTCTCCTCGTCTCAACCACGCGCTACTCCCACTTCTAGTCGATGCGCAGGACGCGGGCTCCCTTGCGCTTGGTCGACCTCTTCTTCTTGTGGCCCTGCTCAAAGGACGCAACGGCGCCGTGGTCCCGGCCCACGTTGTCGTAGTCCTTGACCTTGTAGATCCGGATGATCCAGTTCTCGCTGGTGTAGGCCTCCTCGAGGGTGTTGAGCGTCGGGGCCTTCTCGGGCAGGCGCGAGCCACGGACGCGGTCCTGGGCCTGGCCCGGCGGGAACAGCGCCTGGTAGTTGTAGTAGGACATCTTGTACATCAGGCTGTTCTTCATGGTGTCGGTGGCCTCGTCGTCGACCCGGTACTCGCCGCGCGCGGTGAAGAAATCCCGCTCCTTCACCTCGTCCGGCCAGATGCCCTCAGCAATGCGGACCATCCACAGGAACTTGTTAATATCGTCTCCCGAGTAACCCAGGAGACCGCCAAAGACAACCAGCACGTAATCGACCTCGTGCGCTTTCATAATCGGGTAGCTAACTTCCTCGCGCGAGCTCATGGCCTTGCCCACCGTCGCAATGTGTGTGTTGTTCCACGTGTTGTTGTCCACCAGCGTCGGCCGGTCCGCCATGCCGCCAATCTGGTAGCCGTAGTCCCACCAAGACATCACCTTGGCGTCCTTGGGCGTGTTCTGGCGCAGCCACTGGTAGGCCTCGCGGTAGTCGTCGATAATGTGCTGGCTGCCGTCGGGCAGTTTGCTAGCGAGCACGACGGACGGCGACGAGTACGCGTTGGACGTCACCCACGTACAGTGGGCCACAAACATGACCAGGTAAATGACAACGGCGCCAGTCACAAACGACTTGGACAGGAACGAATAGACGCCGACGACGGGGCGGCTCATCGACTTGAGGCCACCCTTGGACGGCTTCTTGTCGGCATTCTCCTCGGCAGCAGCCACATCGGCCGGGCTGGGGCTCTTGGCGTTGAGGTAGCCGTCGAGCAGCGAGGACACAGTGATGGCCGCGGCCACGCAGACGACGGGCGTCAGCGTCAGCATCAGACGGACCATGACACCGGCAAAGTAGCTGCCGAACAGGGCGTAGACGACGATGAAGACATGCTCGTCCGCCAGGGTCTGGAAGCAGAGGTACACGCCGGCGGGGAACAGCCAGATGAGGAAGTTGAGGTCGAAGAAGAAGGCGGGCCAGGCAGTGGGCTGGTGCTCGGAGACGGACGCAATGATGGGGATGTGGATCTTGGCGTAGCCGGTGTCCCACAGCGAGTAGAAGCGGCCGCTCCAGGGTGCAATGACGCCGGCCGTGGTCGCAATGACGAGACCCAGGAGACCGATGGAGAAGACGCTAAAGGCCGAGAGCAGCAGGAACGTCTGGAACTGGCGGGTGGGGACGACGGAGCGCACGTAGTCGAGGAACGCCAGGAGCTGCAGGAAGCCGAAAATGCCGAGTGCGGGCATGTGCTCGCTGGTGCGGACGGGCAGGAAGCCGACAAAGGGAATCTGCATGCTCGCCAAGGTACCAAGGGCGTACCATGTGGTGTAGGCAACGTACAGGCGCGTGCTGTAGCGGCCCATGCAGATGAGGACGAAGGCGTGCAGCGGCAGCAGACAGGTAATGAAGGCGTAGCCACCCCACGAGGCCACCATGTATCCGTAGAAGAGGGCACAGAGGGCACCCCAGAGCATGGAGCCGAGCTTGAGTGCCTTGATCCACAGGTAGAAGGTGAAGACCAGCAGGAAGATGGCAATGGCCTCGTTGTCGTAGCTGCCGGCGACGGAGCGCGAGATGTAGCCGGGGGTGATTCCCATGAAGGCGGCGGCAAGGAGACCGGCGGAGGGCGACGTGGTCATCTCGCTGGTCAGCAGATAGGCCGAATAGGCGGTGAGGCCGGAGAAGGCGGGCGCCAGCATGACGCAGACGTTGCGGATGTCGACGGGGATGGTCAGGGCGCGGAGGGCGTGGTAGATGGCACCGCTGGTCACCATCAGGCCGGGGTACAGAGTGCCACCCGTGACACGGCCGAGCGGGTGCCACGTGCGGTCATCAAACCAGTCCCAGAAGCTGTAGAAGCCATTGGCGACAAGGTATTTCGTGGCGCGGAAGTTAAACCAAGGATCGACTATAGGAAAGGGCACGAGTTAGCAAGAGGAGGCTACGGATATGCTGGGCAGACGGGGTCGAGGGAGGACGAGGTCGATTGTGCATCAATGGAATCAGTGGGAGGCAGATAAAGCGTGGAATCGTCGATTGTACGCACATTCGTGGATGATGCTCTCAAATCCTAGACACATAGACACATGTCGTTAGCAATTGGCGTTTCCGAGGCCGGCATCAAAGAGAGAAACAGGCCTTCACTCACGGATCACAGAGAACAGGCGGCTGGACACGGAGGCGGCGGCAATGAGGAAGAGAATCACCACGCGCAGCACCGACCGCAGACTTCTGGTCTTTCCGGCATCGCCCAGAGGGCCAATCGGATTTGGCGTCGTCGATGTCGACGCCATTGTGGCCGATGGATTGGCGATGGGGGCAAGGAGGGGGAGAGATGCGACGAGGGAGGTCAATGGCAGGTCGTGAGGCCGATCATGGATGGTGAGAAAGAAAGAGGGGGTAACGAGAAAAGAAAAAGGGAACAACGTTTCAAAGGAAGGTAAGAAGAAGGCAGAAGGCACGGAAGGCACGACGACGAACTAGAACACGAACGAGCAACGAAAATGAGAAGGTGCGGTCGTTGATGGATTGCCCCTGCCAGAAACAGACGTGCCCTTTCTTGGTCGGGGCTTCGTGGAGAGGACAGCTGGAGCTTCCGCGTCGGCTTTTGGCGTTGCTTTGCTTGCAAGGTGTACTAAGGGGACAGGTGGCTTGGCGTCCCAGGAGGCTTGACACGCGGCTGGCCTGAGACAGCGCTATGATTGGCCAAATGGTCGAAGCTTGACCCCACTAGCCGTTGTATGGGACACACAATCGAACCGGCAGAAAAGCGGTGAGAGCCTCAGCGATTATCAACTCACATTTCCGTCTCTCACCATCTGGGGTTGGCCTCATCTCATGCAGACATAACAAGCAACACCAGGCAACAGGCCGATTCTTTATATGGAAATCCTTGTTTTGTTGCTGGCATGCTCGCACAGACCATATTTGACGACTATATAAAGAGACGGTTCCACGTTCTATCCCTCTCGTAGTCTTTTCTTTTGTCTCTTCCCTCCTCACCTTCTCTGAGTTTTTGGCTCTGATCAAGTGTAGTATCTGTTCTTTTCAGTTTAACCGCTGAAAGGACCCCAACGGGGTCTTTTTCGTGTGTTTACACGCAAATCTTTGGCAACTCGGGAAGAGCAGTCCGCTGGGCCTGTTCCATGACTGCTCTCCCCACTGTGTCCCTGGTATTTCACTGCTTCCAGGCGACGCGAACGTTTTGTGTTATTGACGAGACTAGGGGCTCTTAATCTTAATACCTTTTCATTACAGTCTTGGGCTTGTCTCGAGACGTGAAGAAGAGGCAAGAACAAACAATGAAACAGCACTGTCAGAACGGGTATTGTAGATTGTAAACGACAAGAGGTATTTTGGCATGTACACAAAAGAGAACAAATGAAATGCACGAGTCACAATGCTCGTCAAAGTGAACGCTGCCTGTTCAATCTAGGTCACTAGGTCACCAGTATTGTCCTCATATGTGAAGAAGATACGGTATAATTCGTACGCAACGACCCTCCATTCACCTCCACCCACCTACCACTTTACAACGCCACCGGGCCGTTGGCGTTCTGCGCTTCCAGCTTGTTGACCAGCTTCTTGACACTGGTCCACTCCTCGCTGCGCAGACCCTCCTTGCCGCCCAGATCCGGGCCCACCTCAAACACCGTCAGCGTGCCGGCAATGCCGCCCGTGGCCAGGCGCTTGCCGTCGCTCTTGTCCCAGGCCACCTTGTTCAGGCTGTTGGCCAGCATCGACCGGCCGTCCTTGCGCTGGCTCGGGCTGATCCGCGCCACCGGCTCTTCCGTCTCCACCGTAATGTCCCACAGCTCCAGCCAGCCGGCACCGTCCACCAGACTGAACACACCGGGCTTGACGGGCGACCAGGCTGCGTCGTATACGACATCTTCGCGCACAAAGTCCATCAGAGGCACCGCCGTGCCCTCCGCTGCCGCGCCGGCACCGCCCACACCGCCACCGCCCACAATCGTGCTCGTGGCCGCCGGCGCGCGGACCTTCCACAGCTTCGCCGACCAGTCCAGGCTCGACGACAGCACGAGGTCGCCGAGGTCGACGGGGCCACGTGCCGGGTGGAAGTCGACCGACAGCACAGGCGCCGCATGGCCGCGGTAGCGAACGCGCGCGTCGACGCCGGCCTTGGCCCCCGCGCGGTCGTAGCGATGGCACGGGTAGATGGTGCCCTCCTCGGAGCCGACCAAGAAGAAGGTCGGGTCGGCGTGGGGGAAGGCCAGGCACGTGGGGGCCAGGTCGTCGACCTTGCACGGCGGCGGCACGGTGAGGGACAAGAACTCTTGCGGCTGCGCGAGCATGTTCTCGGCCCAGCCACAGACCACGCCGTCGGTGCTGCAGCTGATGATGTTGTTGGCGTTCTGGGTGCCGACGATGTCGAGGGCATACACGGGGTGTGTGTGGCCGGAGCCGGTAAGCGGTGTCTTCTGCACGGGCGACGAGCGCGCGCGCGTGTCCCACACAAGCACCTGTCCGCTGTAGGCGCCGCCAAAGATGAGGTTCGGGTTGAAGGGCGAGAAGCGGGCCGTCAGGATGTCGGACTGGGCGTGGAACACAAACTCGGGGCGGTCGTGCAGGTTGAGGCTCCAGACCTGGACGACGCCGTCGGGCTCGTGCGGGGCTGTCGGGTTCTTCGTGTAGGAGGCGAGGAGGAGGTCGGGGAACTTGGGCGAGAAGTCGATGGACGTGATCATGCGCTTCCGCGACCACTTTTCGTCGTAAAACTGGCGAATCTCCTTCACCTTCCGCCGGCCGCGTCCGCCCACGTTGCCCTGCTCGTCCTCGTCCTCGTTGTCGTACGCCTGCAGGGTGTAGTCGGTCAAGATGTCGTATTCCAAGTCGAGCGCCTTTTCGATGACCTTGGTCGACTTCTCCAAGAAGTCGACAAACTCGGAATTGGACGTGACGGCCTTGAGCTCCTCGTTGGACAGAACGCGTGCCGGGTAGTTTGTCGAGAGAGGGGCTGTCTGTGCGGACTGCTGGCCAGCCAACTGCTCCTTTGCCGCCTGCAGCTCTTCCTCCACCTCTTGCCGGATGTTCTTGCGCAGCTCCTCTTCCCGTTCGCGTTCTCGCCGGCTCAGCTTCTTGTTCGGTGTGGCCGGCGTCGGCTCCTCGCCGTCCGAATCGTAGAGGGTGCGGTTGACGACAGGTGCTGTTGGCAGCAGATCGTCGGTGGTCTGGACGCCTTTGCTGTAGGAAAAGACTTCCTTGACGGGGGACGGAGGGCATTCGTAGATGGTCGTGAGCGAGACGGTAGACAGGACCTGCGGCTGTGACGGCCCCGTGCTGCTGACTTGCGTGATGCCGGCCGCTGCATATTCGGACGTCTCGTTGCTCAGCTCGCCCGCACTCAAAACACTATTCGGCCGGCTTCCCTTGTGTGCCGGCGACGCCGCACCGCCGGTTGTCGTCGAGCCCGGCCGGCTCTCGCCCACCAGGCTGTTGATGAGAGACTCTATCTCTCGGCGGTTGTCGGCGCGCCCGGGCGTTGGTGCAATCAGTTGCTGCCTGGTTAGCCAGCCGTCACCCAGAAGTGTACGGGCCGAGACTCGTTGTAACATACATCGGGTCCTATGCTCTGCCGTGATGCAGACGCCTGTGTTCTCAGCTCCCGCTGCCGCTTCAGCTCGGCGAGCTTCGCCCTCTTCGCCAGGATCTCATCGCGCCTTTGCTGCATGGCTATCTCGTGTGTCGGTGTGCCGATCCTGCCCGCGTCTGCCGCATGCTCGTGGCAATATGGCCTGTTGACTTTCCCAGCGTCGTGTCGTCGAGTGGCTTGTGCTCGGTGTGTGCCTAATGCGCGACTGTGGCAAAACAAGGTCGAAATCGTCAAAAGGCGTCGTCAGGGGGTTCGTCAATATAACAATGTTTGAGGCCGAAATATCAGGCTGGAGATCAAAATGCTAACCAGCAAATGAAAGCCCAGTAAGTATCAGGTTCGTGCTTCCAGGTCAACCAGTTGTCCAGTTGCACCCGCTCAGTATTGGTGGTGGTGTGTGGTGCCGGTAGTTGTCGTTGTTTTGTTAGCTTTGCTGCGTTTTGTCTGCCTTTCGTGCCCCTGGACCATGCGCGTCGTTCGCGACACCGCTAGCCTCGCCCCCAAGAATAGGTGGAGCTTGCTGCAGGAGAGCTGCTGACAGTTTGAACTGGTGCGGACAGTTACGAAGTAGCGTGCCATACACGTGATTCGCTCTCAGCCAGGACGTCCCATAATCGTACAACAAAAAACTCGGATCATGTGACAAAAGTGACTAAAATAGGTCATGTGATCAATCCGCCAGGAACGCGAGCGATTGCCCGCGCGTCAAAAAAGTGAGGCTGTAAAAATGTATCGTGAAGAATATCGTTAAAATGACTACGTTTTATATTAAGTAGAAGAAAATTATTTTTGTGTTATAAATATATTAATTACGTGTTATTTTTTAATACCTTTTTTTATTTTTTCCGATTTTTTTTTTATAAAAGTGGTGTAGTAACCGAAGTATAATAATTTTAAATTAAAATTATATTTTTTCGATATTATAATATTACTTTTTATTATTTTAATCGTACTTAGTACTTTTTTTATATATTTTAAAGTTAAAAAAACGTTTTTATTATAATATTTATTATTATATTTTTATAAAACTATAAGTATTTAAAGTAAAAGAATTATTATTATATTATTAACTACTTATTATTTATATTATTAAAACTTTTATTTATAAATAAACGGTAAAATATCGTTAAAGGATATTTACGTATATTTTAAGTATAAAGTATTATATACCGTTTTTATAAATTATCGATATTGTCGATTAATCGTATAAAAAAACGTAAAAGTATATTTAAACCGTTAATAAACCTCGTATTTTATTATACCTTTTATTTTTAAACTAAAAAAAAAAAACGTTTAATATAATTTTTAATATTACGGTTTTACTTATTAGTAACCTCGTCTTTTAAATCGTTCGAGTTAATATTAATAATAAAAATATTCGACGTGTTATTAAAAACCTTTTTACTTACTCTTTATATATTTATAACGTTAACTTACCTTACTATTTACGGGAGTTTATATTTTAACTTTAAAAGAAACTACTCGTAACTTTAAAAGGGATACGTTTTATACCTTTATATACTATTGAAAAAGTATATATTATTAATTAAAAGTTCGAAGTAATAAAAGATATACTTATAAAAAAGGAAACGGTTTATTAAAAAGGTAAAATAACCGTATACTTAATACCGTAGGTTTATATAGTATCGTTAAATAATTATAAGATTTATAAGTCGTTAAATTATCGTCTTTTATTACTTTTTAAAGGTTTTACGTTAATTTATATAAATAATACGGTGGTTTTTTTCGAGTATTATATATATTTACTTAACTACGTTAAAAAATATACGTATAATTAAAACTTATATTACTAAATCGATACGTAGTCGATTAAAACGATATAAAAAGTCGTATTTAATCCGACGTTAATAAAACTTAATAATTATAATCGTTTTTAAAATAAGAATCTTTACGACGTTTATAAAACGAACTTATAAAGACTAATAATCTTACTTATACTAATTAAAATATATATAAACTTAAAGTTTAAAGTAGTTACGAACTCGACACCACCCGTATATCTCGTTTACGTATACTTTATAAATAAACTTTACGTTATAACGAGTCTTATTACCGTTTAATATTAACGGGTGTATATTAAAGTAATATATAAATATTTTAAATATAGTCTTTTTCTCGTTTAAAAATAAAGACTTTAACGAGACGTTTTTTAGTGTGTTAATAGTACGTTACGTATAATTATATATCTCTTTATAATATAGTCCTTTAAACCGTCGTATTAATAAAGATTTTTAATAAAACTTTAAACTAAAAACGAGTTATAAAGTTTTAAAAAGGTAGTATTATAATAAACTTGTTATTTTAATACTTATTAACCTCGTCTTTATTATACGTTTTATATACTAAGTATATAACTATACTTTAATAATAAAAAAGACGTAACGAATAACCGTAATTTTAAACTAATTTTTATTATAATTAAAAAACGAAGGTGTAAAACTATTATCTTGTATAAAAGTTAAAAAAAAGATTATCGTAACCCCTGTAACGTTAACGTCGGTCTTTTTAATATTAAACGTTATTTTTATTATTTCGAAGAAAAAGTATACGAAAAAGACGTTAATCCCGTTAACCTCCGTAAAAATAATAAATAAATTTATACTAACGTTATTTATACTAAAAGTAACGTCGATAAAAAACTCCTTTACGATAAAAGTAAACGGTTATATTATTTCTTTATAAAAAAAACAAACCCTTTTATATTATTATAAACGTACTCTTTAAAGGTAAATTTATCGGTTTTTTTTAATAAAAGTAATAGTATAAAGACGTATTAATTTTAATCTCGTACTTAAAGATTTTTATTAACCTTCCTTTACCAGTAATAAACTTAAAAAAGGGTTACGTAGTTTACGTTAAATACTTTACTAGTAATAAGGTCACGGTAAATCTTTATAAGAGTGTAAGAGTTAAACCGTATATCGATATACTTTAAGACTTTTAACTTAAGATTAATATTTATATATATTTTATAGTAATAGTGGTGGAAAGAGAGTGTAAACGTGTACTTAATATAATATACTTTAATCGTTAAACGGTTATTATAGTCGTAACGTTTAAAGTTTCTTTTATCTCGTTAACTCTCGTTTTTATTTTTTTATTTTATATTTACGTTTTAATAATAATAAAAATAAAACGTAAACGAGATATAAGTTTTATAAGTTATTTTTAAGAAAAAACGATAACTATTAACTTATTAAATAATATCGATTAAAATTAAAATAGTTTATAAAACGTCGTTTTCGAGTACCTTTTTTTTTTTTCTTTTAAAATTTTATTAATTTAATAAAAAAAAGAGAGAAAGGGATAAGTAAACGGTCGATAATAAATAATATATTAATAAACGTAAGTTTATTATTCTTTTAATTATATTAATTATAAAAAAATAAAAAAGAAATAAATAATTAAGTAAAAAAAGTATATTAATAACTTTTACGTTTATAACTTTTAATAAAAATCCTTTTAAACGTTTAATTTAAAAGTAAAACGTTTTTTTTATACTTTATATAAGTCTTTTTTTACTTACTATTTTATAAAAACTTAAATTCGGTAATATCTCGTACTATTTAACATTTCGAATAATACCTTTTAATAAAGTTACCGGAAAAAAGATCGAGAGATAAAAAAAAAGAGTCGAGAGATAAAAAGGGAGGGTTTAAAAGTAAAGGGAGAGGGTTTAAAGGTAAAGGGAGAGGGTCGAAAGGTAAAGGAGGGTCGAAAGACGGTTAAGGTTTTAAAAAGGTACGGATTTCTAACGGCGACAAGACGTTATAATATCCTAAAAAAGAAAAGAAAAGTTAACCATATATATAAAAAAACGGTCGAAAAAATAACATAAAAATAATCTACATACCGTCTTCCATAGTGGTTCAATTACCGAAAAGCGATAAGGGTAAAAGAACGTGTAGATTATACAAGCGGAGGATTATGGTGATGGATACGGGCAAAAGTAAACAAAAAAGAGGGCGCGGCGCGTTTTCGACGTGGTCACGAGAAAAGCGGACCCGCTAGTCCCTAAAAGGATGGCGTTTTAGTCACATGATCCGAGTTTTTTGTTGTACGATTATGGTTCATGTCAGCCAGTGGATCTGGCCATTGGAACGACGCAACTGCAGCAGAGCTACAGGGGAAGGCCAGATCGCATCGGGCCTGTAATTCGTAGCTGCTGAAGGATAAAGGTACCCACACACCCCTTGTTCCATGAAGAGTGACTTTGCCGTCGCAATTACAACAGCTATGCAGGCCCAGCCCGATCCGCGAGATTTCCCGACCTACTCAGTAGGAAGTGGTCTGCGGCTTGCTCCTGCAAGCTAATGTGAGTGAAATTTCCAACACGCGCTCATCCGCGACCAACAGGGACAGCCGGCCTAAAAGCAAAGAGCGAGAAAAAAATCGCCAATTGGCACAATTGAACCACACAACGACGCATCCCAGCACTCTTCTTTTCCAACCTCGTCATCTCACACCACTTTCGCGATCTCGCGCCCACGTTCTCTTCAGCGTTTCCCTCCCCTTCTCTCGCCCTCTTCACAGCCGCAGCAATGGCGTCCAACGCAGGTGTTAATGTACGTTTCCTTTTTCAATTCGCGCCCCGTTCCCGCCGAGGACGACACCGATACCGTATTCCGGGTGGAGGATGGCTTCCTGTTGATGGGGATTCCGTTGTTGCGCGATGCATCGAACGACTGGCGCGCTCCGGAAGCTGTGCCTCGGAAGCTCTGTCCGGCTTCTTATCGCGAGTCTGATCGCCAGCTCGAAGAAGCCGAATTGAATGCTGACATTGCCTTCTTCTCTCTCGCAGGTCCTCCGGTACTCGGCCCTTGGCCTCGGTGTCTTGTACGGCTTCTACCATCAGCGCACAATCAACTCCTCAGACAAGGCGGCCGCCGCGAAGCGGGCATACGAGCACAAGCAGAGCCTGATCAACCAAGCCAAGGCGGAGTACACCAAGCTCCGCTCCCCGTCACCCGCAGCATCGGCGACGTCCAGCGGTCGTAAGTGTTCGGACGGGATGGGAGCAACAGAGACTTGCCGGGCCGGGCGCAGCATCGCTAACACGCCTAATCCAGTGAACCAAGACCCGATGGACCCCAAGTTCGACCTCGAGGCCTACTTCGAGGCTCTGATGAAGGAGAAGCCATAAACGGACGAGGATGGGGCTGCGCGCGAGATTGAAGAACTTTGTCGAGGTCACGCAGCGCACAAAGTCAGCCGTCTGCGCTCTGTGTGATGCCCGGCTTCTGTAGGTATATGGCATAATATGTTGAAGGGGCTCGAAAAGAGACGGGTGCGGATAGATGATGGGATGATGCTTGGGGCGGGGACTGCATATGGTTTTCCTTTTCTTGTTTGTTTCTTTTTTGCAAAAACTTCCTTCTTTGCTCTTTGCCCTTGCTCGGTCGTCGAACTTTTCCCTTTGTTTTCATCTTGGCGGCTCGGGCAATGGGAGAGAGAAAGAAATGCATCTTGGCTTTGGCATTGGATTATGGGATGACGGCTGGATCCCGGGCGGACGATAACGAGTGGCCTCGACTTTTGACTTTCACTTTCGGCATTCCGCATTCGACGGTCGATGCTCGATAAGTCGTCTTTGATCTGCAATCTCCTCCTCTCGGCTCTCGATATCGATCTCAACTGCTGAGCCTTGACCACCTCGTCTCGGACTGACCTCCAAGCGACGGCAAGGCAAGGCAAACTCTGCCCGCTTCCTCGACGACGGGACGACAGCATATAAACGAGCATCCGCATAGACTTCCTTCCTAGCCTCGAGTTGCACTGTATATGTGTACAATATCAAATTTAGACGGACAGATGGTATAGCCTTGGTGTATCACTTGGTGACGTGATGTGACGTATAAAGGACGAATCGTACGGAACGGTCCGTGGTAAGCCATGGTTGGAGTGACGTGGAACTAATTAGGGACCGAGAAAATAGGAGGGACCAGCGAATGTGTTGACAAACGTGTCGAAACGACCCCGAGAGGAGAGACGTGTTCATCAACTTCGCTTCATACCCTAGACTGAGTATGTGCCGTTTTCCAGACATACTACCCCAGGTCTGACAAGGGCCTTGCCGCTTCAAGGGTGCCTCAGTATATAAAGTCGATCAATAGCGTCGCGTGAACGATCGCAGCTGCCTGTTTCCCAACTTCCAACATAGCTGCAATTCCCTCTGCCTCAGTAGTAGGCCTCGTCTTGACTCTTCACTAGATAGTGTCATCAGAGTTGTGTCTTGGCCTGGTCCAGCCAACCTCATCCCCGACGCTTGGCTACAGGTTAACAGCCGTATTGCAGATAGCTTCGGAGGCCGATTCTGGTTTTGTTGGAACGTGCGGCGGCCCTCGCTCACGGTTGAGTCGCTCCCTTGACACTATTTCCCCGTAGGACTCGTAACGCTGGCGCGCGGAGTCAGACAAGCGCGACTTTGGTAGATGACTACCAAGAATAGACGTCGGGAATAGTCCGTCTACGGAGTATGAAGAAATACCAGCCACAGCGGACAACTGGGGGAAAGAAGTGTTGGGTTGCGCCTGCCTGGCGAGGAACAGCCGATAGATGCCAGATACAGCCTTGGCCACCCATTTTTAAGAAGGTGCCCAAGAAATGTACGCCAATGACGAGCGGCCGGCGCTTCGCGCCTTCCCAACCCACAACCCACCCACACCATCCACCGAAATCGCGCCGATTGCTGGCATGTCTAAAAGCACCGTCGGGGAAGCAGGGGCATTGAAACGCTGCGGCTCATGTCATACAAAAAGGACTTTGTCGCGCCTCGAATGGGAATTCTTGCAATTACAATACAGTCTACAGCACCTTTACAGCACCGATAGACCTTGTCAAGCCGAGACTTCCACGCGGAGTGTCGCAAGCTAATGGCTAACTACAAGCCGCTAGTCGCCACTGCCTTTTACGGACATCAGAGGCCGTGCCTGCCGCCTCTCTGAGTTCCCCATTCGAGCCAGTGAGGTCACATAGAAGCCCACAGTGGCATTATCTGGGCTGCTCCTTCCCATAGTTTTCACATGTGGCATTTGTGATTACTCTGTGCGACATACTCCTGCCTATTTTGCCTTGCACGCCGTTCCTGCCATTTCAGCTCCTTTGTCTCTCCTGAATTCTCACGTTTCCCTTTGTCGCGCAATTTGTCATTTTCGATTTCTCCTTCCCCTCTTTCTATTCGATTTCAAGCCCGTCGACACCCTTACGTCCCCCCCGGACCATCGCCATCTATGCTATCAGAGTACGACGCCCGCAACCGTTTCTGACCAATACAAACTCCTCATTTACGAACCGCACACCAAAGGGCCGCAGAGCTGGCCTTGGGCGCCCTAGTCCGCCTTTCGATCTCCGAATCACAGCCCAGAGTTCACAGCTCGCTGCTCGTCATACTCGATCCCTTGGTCTTTTTTCCCTCTTGCGTTTGCAACTATTTCCTCTGAAAGGTCTGTTGCATCCTTGCCTACTAGCTCGGCCTCGACGCCGTGGACATTACTGCTGTTGGAATGAGGAGGCTACCTCTGCGCCTCCGCACTTCTCCCTCCTCGCGATTTCCGCCTCTCCGTCCTGCACCGTCTGGGTTGTCAAGACCCGTCCCGTCAGGACAATGTCTTTCTCTCGGCGGTAGCAGCAGTGGAGGCCACCCTCGCGCCCGCTGCGTGCATGGTTCTCCTCACATGTCGTTCCCTGTCATCACTGAGCGCCCCTCGGCCTCAGGCTCCACCGATGCTCCAACCATGTTCGACGCTACCAACCACAACGACATTGATCACCACGGATCACCCGCACGACGCCGATGTGACTCTCACACAAATTCTTCCTCACTACATCCCCTCCCTAAGCTTCCTTTCCACTTTGAGACAGGCGTGGGACTTTTCGCCAAGCGTATACCTCGGCCGTTTCCTCCGCCCTTTTTGTCGCCGCCATCGGGCTCTTTCTCCGATCCACTGAGTACCCACGACCGAAGTCGAGACCGCCGAGAGCTGGTTGACGGTCATCTGATTGGCGGCTGCACCAACGGCGACGACGCGGTGTATGCGGGCGAGTATTTTGTGGCGGCCAACGACGGTGTCGGCGCCTGGTCCATGCGGCCTCGGGGGCACGCCGGGCTGTGGTCGCGGCTCGTCGTGCACTTTTGGGCCAATGCTGTGAGCGAGAGTGTGGCGGCGGGGTCCATCACCGCACCGGAGCCGATCAAGTACCTGCAACGCGCATATGAACAGACGATCGAAGCAACACGGGCACCCAACGACTGGCAGGGAACGACGACAGCCGCAGGCGCGCTTCTGTCATACCGGCAAATCGAGGCAGCCGACGACCGCGCCGCATACACTGACGAGAACGAACCGGTGCTCTACGTGACGAACCTGGGCGACTCCCAAATCATGGTGGTGCGGCCGGCCGAGGGCAAGATCGTTTTCAAGACGACGGAACAGTGGCACTGGTTCGACTGCCCGCGGCAGTTGGGCACGAACAGCCCGGACACTCCGCGCGACAACGCCGTCGTTGACGTGGTGCCGATCAATGTGGGAGACATTGTCCTTGCCATGTCGGACGGCCTCATCGACAATCTCTGGTCACACGAGATTGTGGAGCAAGTCAGCAAGAGCGTAGCCGCATGGCAGGCCAAGGACAAGACTCCAGCAGATCTGCACCGGGGCATGATGACGGCAGTTGCAGAGGAGCTGGTCGAGGCTGCCCGTGTGATTGCGGTAGATCCGTTCGCCGAGAGTCCTTTTATGGAGCATGCCATTGAAGAGGGCCTGGCAAGCGAAGGAGGTTAGTAAAACCCGCCGCTTATGTGGACGCCTATGTTCAAGCCACAATGCCACAATACTAACTGCTGCTCAGGGAAGCTTGACGACATCAGCGTCGTTGCTGCGCTGTGTCGTCGCAGCGATGCTACGTGAGACACGGGCAGGAATTTTACTAATACGAAGAACGGAAGAAACAGTCATGATCATCAGCGTCTTTTTCTTATTCTCATCTTTTCGTCTACGAGTTTACGTTTTCGTTTGGGGGCATAAACAGAGGTTTTGAAAGGCGAAAGCCCGCGGCGTTTCTTGTCAGGCGTTCTTCTCTTTTGCTTCTTTGGATATTTTTGTCTCATGCTTATACTCTGCGACCTCTTGGTCCGTAGACCAAGAAGGTGTTGGACCCTCTAGTTATAGCATTTTGGACCTTTGTACCATGCTCTTCTAATTCTGGAAATCTGAACCCCCAGCTTTCTCACTCAAACCACGCTCTGTGTAGCTGCCAAACCATTTGTCAAGCAACGCCACAAGCATCATGTCCGCCGCGATTTCATGTCGTCGATGAACATGCCGAACATGCCGAACAAGTCCTTCCAGCTTTCTGCTACCGGCCAGATGATGCATGCGATAGCACTAAAGAAGACCCAAGTCATACTGATGGCGACCCATCCCGTCAGCGCAGCTTTGGTAAAGATGAAGCCAGTGCCGTAAAAGGCAAACGGAAACAACACCATGGCAAAGACGAAGAAAACGGCACAGCACCAGATGGCCAGACGGCGCACCTTGTGGTACAGATCAAGGTCGAGGGGCTCGATGTGGTTGGCTGTAAGAAAGTCGACAATTTCGTTGCCTGTGGCCTCCGGGACCGAACCCGCCGCCGCCTGCGGTGTCTGTTGGACAATCACGCCCGTGGCTGCAACTGCGTCCATCGGGGTCACCACAGCGTACGTCTCCTCCTTGCTGCCTGCGCCACCCGTGTCGCCCTTCTCGCCCTTGTCGCCCAGGGCCATCTCCGCACGCGCCTCGGCGTCGTCTGTGACGACCTGACCCTGAAGCGAGGCAACACCACAAATCTTCTCCAAACGGGCCACGTGCGCCGGGTCGCTAGAGGTGTACTTGTACGGGAAAAGGTACGAGAACGCGACGGCAACAACCGCACCGGTGCCGCACGTCGTGGCACTCCCGGCGACGCTGTTGGTGAGGTCGCCGGTAGTGATCACGCTGATCGAGCCGTCCCGCAGGTAGGTGGTGACCAGCCACGTCATGATGCCGAGCGGCATGGCGATGAGCGGCGCGCCAATGGCGGCAGGCGTCGACATACGCGAGGGCCATAACAAAATCAGGCCGAGAGGAATGCCGCCGCCGCCAATCATGCAGCCGCCCTGGGTCAGAATCCAGGTGATGTTGATGCCGCTGGCGTTGAGGCCGCAGCAAAAGGTAGCGAGGACGAGCGAATAGGCGATGATGCTGGTGTGGGCCTGGACGACCAGCTGGGACGAGGTGGCGCCCTTGTTCACGTACAGCTTATAGACATCAAACGTCCAGAGCGAGGACACGGCGATGAGCTCGGCGGACGTGGCCGAGGTGATGGCCATGAAGAGCAGCAGGAGCATGAGCGCCGCGCCGTTCTTGCCCATCAGCGCAATGGCCGTGGCCGGCGCGCTGAAGCCGCCGTTGACCTGGGCGGCATTGAGGGCGTTGGGATACGTGGGGAAACGCGGCGAACTGGTCATGGCGACGCATCCGAGGCCCATGGCCGTCGCAAAGCCGTACGGGATGCCATACCAAGCGAGCTGGAGATGGACAAAACGGTATCAGGTTAGTTGAACTTTCAAAGGCAGCAAAGTCATTCTTTGGCAGACGTAACATAAACGTACACCACCAAAAAGGTACGCCTTGACGCTCGTCTCCGGCTTCGAGGCAATCGCACGCTGCCAGTACGCCTGGTCGAGCCAGACAGTGGAGAAGCCGCCGAGAAAGATGAGCGCCGCAAAGGTCAAACCACCCTTGGACTGGAACGTCAGCCACGAGCCGTCCCTGTTGTTGGGCAGAGGCGTGGCCTCCGCGGCGGCCGTGAGAAGGTCATGGAGACGGCTGGGGCTGCCGACATATTCATCGGTCGTATACAAGGCAAACGCGAAGATGAAGATGGCGACAAACAGGATGACCGTGTGGATATAGTCGGCAACGAACGTGCTCCGCAGGCCACCCTGGATGACATACGCGGCAACGGCGAGGGGGATCTAGAGTTGAGGTTGCACTCGTTTAGCCGGCCATAAAGTGGACAGTTTGGGAGAGATAACATGGCCGCGGTTCGCGGGTCGAGCCGCGGAGAAATCAAAACTGTGGGGAAGTTGAGGGGGGGGGTGAGAAACAAGGTGCGCAGTTGGAGACACTCACAATAAAGCAGGCCGCATAGACATTCACACCCGACAGGCCAGCCACGACTTGAGCACCACCCAACACAAGGGTGGCACCGACGACTGGAACCCGGAAATAAGTCAGCATGATTCATACAGCCTGTCACGCGCAGCACATCCGACAATTGTGGAGTGGCTCGTGCACCGGTACTATATTTACACACCCACACGCCGACGTGCATACGCCACACCACTTACACATATTAGTGGCCCAGCCAAAGACCAGATAGATGGCATGCGCCACGGGCCCGTGTCGTGCGAGCACGATCTCAGGAAAGGTGTGGGCGCCGGGCAGGTCGCGCTTGACCATGAGGGACAGCATCGAGAACAACAACACCTGCGATGTGCCCAGTGCAGCATACCACATGGGGCCGGAGATGCCATAGGCGTACGCAAACGTTGAGCTGGTCAGCAGCGTGGCGGACCACGTCCACGAACTGACGATACCAGCGACGATCAGGCCCGGCTTGACACTGCGCGACGCCGTGTTGAACTCCTCCGACTGCTTGGTCGAGAACTGGGAGTAGCGGTTCTGGAACTGCGTCGTGGCGATCATGACGATTGTGAAGACGGCACCGATGCCCGCCAGGATGCCGTAGCCCACACCTGGACTCAGCACCTGCAGTTCCTTGCCAAACGTGGCACTCGACATGGTGGGAAATGAAATGCTGAATAGGAGACGGGAAAAGTAAGGTAGAAGAGGACTATAATTAAGATGACGCTGCGTGTTCTGCGACGTCTAACAAATCTCCAGTGGTTTCTTTTTTTCATCCCCCGGACCAGATGTCTCGCGACCATTCTGTCTTATAGTTGGACAAGGAAGACGTTCACAACAGGATACTTCTCATCTACAAAGATAAGGAATCGACCGAAAGACAAGGCCGAAGAGCATATCGATGCATCGGCATCTTCCCCGAGAAGCTGCCGCATTTCCGCGTTCTCGTTTCGTCGCACTCATGATAACGGTTTGGTGGCCACACAACCCCTCTCTTCACATTCGTTATCTCTGGCGAAACCAGGTGAGGGTGCGATGTGACGACACCGTCTCTGGCTTCCAACGTTGAAAGATATCAGATACCAGCGTTCCAGGATCGCCACAGCTGCCGGCATCTTTGACACACGTGTGCCCGGCCTCCTATGTGCAGTCCCACGCCGTACATCGGGAGGAGGGGGACAGCATTCCCGACTATCCCGGATCGTGTCTTCGGACCCCGACGTTGCAGTTTATGGCATCTTTCCTTATCTCTGATTTTGTTCGACATCAAAGGTCGACCGTTGCCAAATGGGCCAATTGGGCAGCGACATGCGGGTGTCTCCATGCGGCTAGCGGCTCGCTAGCGGGCCACAGCGTGGGGCCGCCTGGCAAACCTTAAAGGGAGCTGTTCCCGCTGTTGGAGAGCCGCCTGTGAACTTGGTTGCCTGGGTTTGGCGCAGTTGGCATTGCCGCTGTTGAAACGTTCTTGGGAGAATTCTGCACATTTCTGAATGATGGTGCGGGCTGACACTGACAACATTGGCGCGGTTGGTCTCAGCCGCAACGAAATGCGCCTTATGGCGACTTGGGACGACCGAGAACCCAAAAGCCAAGACCATGCACGGAAAGATGATGGCTGCGCGAGGTAATACAGGTGCGATTCTGCACAGAAAGGGGTCTCAACACCAAGTGCGGCAACACCTATTCGTCCGAATCGCAGGGGAAGCTGAAAGAAGAAAGGGAAGCATAACGCGAGCTTAACGACTCTCCCGGCATATTTCGTGTATCTACAAGAAACACACATTATTTTCGGAAACTTTCACTCGTTTGTTCTCAGCCTTGACTACTTTGAAACGGATGCAACGGCAGTCGTCCTTATCTCGAGAACCCATTTATTTGCCGACGTCGCCATCATCAAAGATAGTTCAGTCCTGTCACCAACACTTGCTCAACACTTGCCCAACCTCCGACCCCTCACTCGAATATCGGACGCATCTTCGCATATTCCTTACCCGCCGTCAGTGTCACCGTCTCCTCCGCGGAGCCCCTCTTTCCAAGCTCTTGCCAAGCTTGTTTATCCAGCTCTTATCTCGGAAGCCGATTTACATCCCATAAGCGCCGAATCCCAGAAAATATGGACATGGAGGATCCCGCGACTGAATCGACGCCGGCCACACCCGCCATGAACACGTTGATAACGACTACCATGAGCGCACCGACTACGACCACCACCGCGGCGACTGCAGGAACGCTCCCCTCGTCGTCCACGTCGTCCTTGGCCTCAACCTTGGCCTCGCCATCCAGCCCCGCGACAACCGCCAAGGATATAAAACAACGTTCCTCGTCTTCGAACGGAGTGCTTCCACCTCAGTTCCTCACGCAACACTCGTCCTTCTTCACATCCACTTCAAACTGCTTTCTCTCCTGCTTCCTTTACTGTGACTCAACATGGGATCGATTGCACCTAGCTGGCAAGACAAGGCCGCTGCCAAGCGGCAAGCTGTCCTGGACCTGATCCCCGTCGCCTGGCGCCTGCCCCAGCCGCTGCCCGCGCCGAAGGACCAGAAGGACGTCACCGGTGCCTACGTTCAGCAGTTCCTCTCGCCGCGCGAGGTTGAGTTGACCGAGGCCGACGTCACCCAGATTGTGTCCAACACCACCTCGGGCACCTGGACGGCCACCGAGGTCGTCACGGCCTTTTGCCACCGCGCCGCCATTGCCCATCAGCTGGTATATCCTCCCCTCTCCTTTCCCCCCTCTCTCTCTGTCTCTCCGTGCTTACACTGGCCACTCCTTACGTCAACCCTTCTAACCCAATGTCCAGACCAGCTGCCTTCATGAAATCTTCTTCAGCCAGGCCATTGCCGAGGCCAAGCTGCTCGACGCCAAGTTTGCCGCCTCCGGCGGCGTAGCCTCGGGCCCGCTGCACGGTGTGCCCGTCAGCTTCAAGGACCAGTTCCACGTCCGCGGCGTAGAGACAACCATGGGCTACGTCGGGTGGATTGGAACATTTGAGGGCAAGAAGGGCACCGGGAAGGAAAAGGTCGTCGAGAGCGAGCTGGTGCGCGAGATCCGTGCGCTGGGTGGCGTGCCCTTTTGCAAGACCAGCCTGCCGCACACCGTCATGAGCGGCGTGACCTGGAACCACATTGTCGGCTTCACGCGCAACCCCAACAACCGACTGATGAGCTGCGGCGGCAGCTCGGGCGGCGAGGCCGCGCTCGTGGCCATGAAGGGCAGCCCCGTGGGGTTTGGCACGGACATTGGCGGCAGCATCCGCATCCCCTCGGCGTTTAATGGTCTGTACGGCATCCGCCCCTCGTTTGGCCGCCTGCCGTATGTGGGCGCCGCCAACAGCATGCCCGGCCAAAACTCCGTTCCGTCCGTCTGTGGCCCGCTGGCCGGCAGCGCCGCCACGCTCAAGCTCGTGCTCAAGTCGGTGCTGGCCCAGCAGCCCTGGCACTACGACCCGGCCGTCGTCGAGCTGCCGTGGCGCGACAGCCTGGCCGCGGCGTTGCCGGCGACGGCCGCCGAGCTGGGCCAGGTCCTCACGTTCGGCCTGTGGGAGGGCGACGACCAAGTGGCCCCGACGCCACCCGTCAAGCGGGCGTTTGCGACCGTGAAAGCGCTCATCGAGACGCTGGGTCACCAGACGATCGAGTGGACACCGCCGTCGCACACGCGGGCGACGGAGCTGGCAATGCAAGCGTTCATTGCGGACGGCGGCACCGACATTCACCACCACATAGGGCTCTCGGGCGAGCCTCTGCAGTGGCGGGTGGCGGAGCTGTACGGCACGGCGCCAAAGGCGCCCACGACGGCGGACCAGCTGTTTGACGGCAACTTGGAGCTGTTCCAGTACCGGCGCGACTACATGGACTACTGGAACAGCACGGCGGCGCTGACCAAGTCGGGTCGGCCGGTGGATGCGATCCTGGCGCCGGTGGCGCCCGGCGCGGCCGTTGAGCTGGACAACAAGAATTTCCACGTTGGTGAGTTGGGAAAGACTTTTCCTTGGTTTTTCCTATTTCGATTCCATCTCGTTCAGACAGTTAAGAATGACTAACCCTGCAGTAGGATACACGCCCTGGGTGAACACGCTCGACTACACAGCGGCCGTGTTCCCTGTGACGAGGGTCGATCCGGCGATTGATGTTGTGGAAAAGGACTACACGCCGCTCAACGACTTGGACAAGGCCATCCATGAAGAGTGTACGATCTGACCACCGATTCCTCCAAAGACTGATTAATCAAACGCCCCCATCCCGAACCAGAGCACGCACTAACAGGCATAGACAACCCACAGGTCCAGGAGAACACGCCCGTTGGGCTTCAACTCGTCGGTCGGCGTTTCCAGGAGGAGAAGATTCTCGCTCTTGTCGAAATGCTCTCGGCAGCCTTGGCTCAGTCGTAGATGTGACACACAAAAAGGGTATGTCGATGCCATATGAAAGGTATTGTAGTGTGTATAAGAATATTATTTGCTACGTTCTTTCTCGTCACCTCCACCGTTGGGGTATATATTGTTATCCTCCTGTCCTCCTGTCCTCCGATCCGAGTCCGCCTCACACAAGAAGCAGCCGTGTGCCCAAATCGTTCATCGCCGTGACCCAGTCCACCGTCTCCTCCGTCCGATTGGCCTGCACCGCGCGCAGTTGCCAGCACCGCTCAATGATGGCCAGCGTCCACTGGGTCAGCACCAGCGGGTGGTGGCCCTTTTTCGGCACTGGACACAGCGCGCGGATGCGTGGATATTCGGACTCGAGAGCGAGGCAGCCCGCGACGCAGTAGGGCCACGAGGGGATGTTGTTGTCGCAGTTGGCCCGCATAAACTCGAGGGCCTCGATGGTCTGGAGCACGGCGCGGCGGATCTCGGGCAGGTTCGGGTAAAAGCCGGACACGACAACGTGTAGAAACAAGAGGGTGGCATGGAGGAAGGCCGATGTGACCATGTAGGACCGTTCGTCGCGCGTCAGCCGCGTCGGCCGACGCGCGCCGTCCGAGGCCTCGGACGGCGATGCCAGCGACGAACTGGCCGCCTCGGCAGACAACGCCAGGATGGCGGCCGCCGTCCCCGACGCGGCCATGTGCGCCAGTCCCTGGCTGATGCGTGCCTCGAGCACGTCGGCGCGGCGGGTCAGCTCGCGCAGGCTGAGCGTGCCGGCGCTGCGCTCGCGCTGCTTCCAGGCCTTGAGCACGGCCACGTCCAGCATCGTCGTCAAGACCCAGTCCTCGAGGCCGAACATGTCGCGGATCTTGGACTGGTTGTTGTGGAAAATGGCATGCGTGCGCTGAATCGACTCGAAGGACCGAGGCGTCAGCTCGTGCCCGACGGCCGACGCGACAAAGCCGTATGTGTACTGCGTCAGGAAGAACTTGAACGCCGACAGCTCGCCGTCCGACAGGAACTCGACAGGGAAGAACGACTCGATGGAGCGGTCGTTGTTGTGGGCCGCGCTGCTGCTGCTGCTGCTGCTGATGCCGCCGCCACTGTTGTCGGACGGCGTCGACATGGTCATGGACATGGACATGGGCGAGTCAGAGGCGATGCTGCTGCCATTGACCATGGTCAAGTCAACGGACGACAGCAACGCGGCCGCCGCGTCCAGATGCATGACCCAGTCGTTGACTTCGCCGTGCCGTGGGATCCAGAGCTGGGACGGGTCAGCGGGGAGCACAACAATGTAGTTCATTTTTCTAGGGCAAAAACATACCTCAAATAAAATCAAGTGCATCACGCACGCCAGAGCCTCGACGGCCACGGCCATGCGGCTGGCGCCGGTCTGCTGGGACAGCTGCGCAAGATGGTTGCGCAGGTCGACGACGATTTCAATGTGCTGCATCTCCAGGTCGTGGTTCGTGCGCTCGGGAATGTCGCTGAGCGGGCCCAGCACAAACTGCGCCTGGTCGCACGCGCTGATGCAGATGGCCGCTGCACACAACGGCTTCGTGCGCAGAAACAGGCTCAGCAGCCAGCCGCGGCCCTTGTCGCCGGCCGAATAGGTGAAGAACGGACACAGCCGTGGGAAGACGTGGTCAAAGTAGTACATGAGATGCGACAGCTCCTTTTCGCTGTAGGGGAAGTCGGAGCTGGAGCGGCCGCTCGGGCGGGGCGGCGGAGGCGGAGGTGGAGGTGGAGGTGGTGACCGTGATCGGGGCCGCTGGTATGGCAGTGTTTTGGTGGGCTCGAGGATGGCAGGCAATGGTGTGTCCTCGTACTGGCGGAGACCGCAGAGATGTTGCGGCGGCAGCGGTTGGTGCTGCGGATGCGAGGTATAAGATGACGGATGGGCTGTGTAGGACATGTGAGGCTCCATAGGCCCCGGGTGATTGTGGGTGTTGTGTGCATAGGCATGAAGACCATGACGGTCGGGATTGTTGTGATTGTCGTGATGGTCGTGAGGGGCATGGGGGACATGCTGGTAGTCGCGTTGGGTGTCATTATTAGGCGGCGATTGGTCGTCCAGCTGCATATCGTGTTGGCCATCCGGCTGATGCAGCTGATGCAGGTGATGTTGATGTTGACGTTGGTGTTGATCTTGATATGCATCATGATCGAAATCGTGACGTTGACCTTCTTGGGGATGATGAGGCTGCTGCTGCTGCTGCTGCTGGTCTCGACTACTGCCGCCGCTGAGTGTCGTCGTCGTCAACGTCGCCGGGCTGTCGCTGCCCTCGCTCATTATGCCTCCGGGCGAAGCTGTCGACGTCGACGCAGTCATGGCCGGCATGGCCTCGTGGCCCGCGCTGCGCATGGCGCGTGCCCGTCGCCGCTGGCTGTAGCTCTCCTTGGCGCGCTGCTTCATGGTGCGCAGCATCTCCTTCTCCTCGTCGCCGCCGTCCATCCAGGCCGGCTTCGCGCCGTAGCCGTAGCATGTGATGGACCGCATCGCGCAGGCATCGCACGAGGGCTGGCCGTCATCGCACTTTTTCTTGCGCGCGCGGCAAGTCCAGCAGCCTGTTGTCTTTCGCGGCATGGCGTGTGGGCGTGTGTGTCTGTGTGTGTGTGTGTGAGTCTGTGTATGTGCAACGTGCGTGCGTGCGTTCGTCGCCGTTGTCGTCGTCGTCGATATCCCGAGAAGTCCAATAATCTCAAAAAGCCCAACAAAATGGTTAGACAATACTACTCATCGCGAGAAGGAGGCAGGAGGTGCCGATTGGGAAGGCGACGCCCAGTTGGATTTGTAAACTGCAAGTGTAACCTCGCATGCCCCAAAAGGGAACCTGGAAACGTCTCGACGCTGAGGGCGGAAAGAGCCTGCCTAGCAGAACTTGGGAGCCAAGACAAGCTTTCTGAGGGGAAGGTGCAAGGGGGGCTGTGTGTGGCCAGCGATAAGGAAAACGAACGTCCAAAGTAAGTCTCCTTTACGGCTTTGGAAAGAGCGACCAGACCTATGCCACCTCAGCACCCACTAATTAGAGTATTAAACTCAAAGAGGCTCTTGACCCCCCCCCTCCAAAAAAGCCGGCTTTCAAGGCAGATTCTAGCGTACAATCGGCGCTTCCTTGCGGCACGTCACAAGCCTGGCCCCTGCCCGAACTGGAATAGGTTCTTGTCCAAGGAAAGAACGACCAACGGCCGGCGAGTAATCGTTCTCAGCTTCACCTCGAGTGCCGGTCGTCACTTCCCGCCAATTCCAAGGAAATGGCTTTTGTACGAGAGTGCCACAGTGAGGCAGGAGCGTTGCACGGCAGTCGTAAGAGACGTCCGAAATTGGCACAAAAGCCCGCAAGGCGGATTCGGGGTTATTACTGTACCTTATTCTGTATTTTGAGTGGCGTTCCACCTTTTCCCTTTGTAATTTTTATTTTCGGGGTACTCCGTCCTAGGAGGTGAGATTTTGGTCACATTTACTTGGCTTGTGGCCTCTAGGCCAGGCCATCATCTGCCCGTCTGAGAGAAGCCGACAACCAAGACAGATCCTCGCCTGTTTTAGCGCCTCAGCCGCCTGTTGCAACATTTGGCGAGCCCACTTCCCGTTTTGTTTCGCTGTATTGGCTCAAGATGGGAAATGTGGGTCCCAGCAGAAGGACAATGCGCCGATAAGAGATTTTTCTCTTATCGCAGAAAACCGTCCTCGAGTCGCACGCTGTCGAATGCCTCGCTAGATTCTCTCTGTCACGACCTTTACTGCGCGACCGCCCTCCCTCAATCCCCAACACCATACACGACCGAGATGCGTGCGAAACGGTCAAAGCAGTACAAGAAGCTGGTCCAGCAATACCAGCTGCACCATGGCTTCCGCGAGCCCTACCAGGTGCTGGGTAAGTCGAGCGATTGAGCCGTCTCCTCCCACGACGTGACGTGCTAACTAGCATTTGCAGTCGACGGCGACCTCGTACGCGATGCCGAACGATTCACAATGGACCTCCAGGCCGGGCTCGAGCGAACACTGCACGGCAAGGTCAAAATCATGATCACACAGTGCTGCATCCGCCACCTCTACAGCATGCCCAAAGAGCCTGGTATTAACCGCGCCATCGATCTCGCCAAGACGTTTGAGCGCCGCCGCTGCGGCCACCGCCCGGACGACTTTGAAGAGGCGCTCTCGGCACTCGAGTGCTTGACGCACGTCGTCGACAAGGACGGCCGCGGCGAGAACAAGCACCGCTACGTCGTCGCCACGCAGGACCAGAGCGTCCGCCGCTACATGCGCACGGTCTCGGGCGTGCCGCTCATCTACATCAACCGCAGCGTCATGATCATGGAGCCCATGTCGGAGGTGACGGCCCAGGTGGGTGCCAGCGCCGAGCGCGCCAAGTTCCGCAGCGAGCTGCGCAAGTCGGCCGGCGCGAAGCGGAAGCGGGATGATGCGGGCGACGAGGAGGACAACAAAGATGGTGACAGCGACGACGGCGACGAGCACGACGACGACAAGGATGCCAACAGTGACAAACTACAAAAGGATGCACAGGCTCCTGTCGAGGAGAAGAAGAAAAAGAAAAAGGCATTTGGCGTCAAGGGACCCAACCCTCTGTCGGTGAAGAAGAAGAAGGAGAAGAAGACGGCAGCCCCCGGCGCAGGCGCAGGAGCGGCGGCCGCCAAACCCAAGACCACAGACGACGGCGCCCCGAAGAAGAAGCGGATACGGAAGCACAAGGCACAGCCAGCCAGCGACGGCAGCGCGCCTGCAGCAGCGGCAGAGGCGGCCAGCGACGAGTAGGCCTAACGTCTTGGCAGTTTAGGCTCTTGTAATAGTATACTTGCATTAGAATTTGATACCAGCGGACATCCCATTTATGTGCCAAGCTCCAAAAGCTCCAACTCTGTCCAAGAATAAAACAACGTAAATGTGCAAGTCCATCTACGTCGGGCGCTGGATATGTGGTCACGGGCGACGTTGTGGGTATCACGGGACAGAAGGTGACTGAAAGCCTTCGTAATCAAAAGGCGACGTCGTCCAAAAGGCGTCC